TCATCATCCATTATTATTATTGCATTATAATAATTTATTTAAAATATTCAAAATAGAAATAGATTGGCTGGTGCCAGGAGGAGTGGGATTAGTTTTCGGATTAGAATGTTCTTTCAGCTACCATCGTTTTGAAAAATTAACTTTTTTCAATAATTGGGGAATCAATTCTGCTGATTCATTTGTATTCTTCTATACATCCATTCTATGAAAGTTTCTTAAATTTACTTCGCTTGAAGACAGTTACATCTATTCTTGATGGATTTATTTAGAAGTTTAAATGATATCGAATCAAATGAAAATAAATCTATAATTACTATTCAGAATTAAAACTGATTTAAAATTCACGTGTCTTATGTTCATTATAAAGTAAGCGAATGACAATGTTCAGTGATATGTTAACATAAAAACTGATTGTGAAATTAGGCTATTATTAGACGTGACTCACTTCCCAAAATAATCTTTTCAATAGCTGTCCGATCAACCCTGTCAGGAGAAAATTCTTCTTTTGTCTGCCACAACAATATATCGTCCTATTACGATCGATCTGTGATCTTTGATCATGTATCTTCACACTCTATGGCACATTATGACACCTAATTTCATGTATAACTACAATTTCCTATTTTTTTAAATACGCCGCAAACAAACTTTTTAGTGCAGCGCCGGTGGGGAACGGTAACCGGATGAAAGAAATTGGGAAAATTTCCACTAGTCGATAAATTCTATTATCAACTGATAAGTAACTTGCGAAAATAATTTTTTAGCTAAAGCTTTAATTTATAACAAACATACAATCCAATAATGAATTTACCTCAAGGAAACATTAGGATAATTGAGAATTGAAGAGAATGGAAAATATAAGAACAGCCATCCAACTGGAATGATGGATACGGTTAAAGAGGCCCATGGATCCTGATATTTCCTGCATGTGACTAGTATCTAAAAAACTAATTATTCTAGTATAATTATTCTAAGACGTTAAATTTAAATATTAATTACTTCATTTTTGCTTCCATTTCGTTTATTACAACTCCATAATCATAATATCCATCTTGAAAACAATCAGAATTTATCAAAATTTACTTTGACGAGGAAAATGTTTCAACAAAATATGCGGTTATTAAACTAAATTCCAGAATGTGAAGTTGGTTCCTTCTCTTCTTGCAGTACAAGTTGATTCTTAAATTAGCAGAGTAATGGTATGAATATTATAAGTAAGGTAGAGTGTTAGGCATTTTAAAACGGTTATTAAGAATAGCGTTAATAGAAAACTGCTCTAGAGAATCATTTCGATTTAATTTAAATCATATCAAATCCAATTGAACTTTGTTTCAGATCCAAACTCATTAAGCTCCAATCAATTCAGTTCTAGCTGATTCAATTCTTTCTCCTCCCATCAATTTGTAATGGGGTTGAACTTTAAAGAACGCCTTTCAATTCAGCTTTAATGCTATTATTTATTTTTTGTTCATTTCTCTTAAATACTTCCATATCAGTCTTGCGACTAAACTTCCTTTCCTCTCATCCTACTTTCCTCTCAATTCGTTCAAAGTTTGTTGCATATGAAAACACCGAATTGATTAGCTCTTTCCTATTTTTGCTTTCTGATGCCTTTAACTGTCATCATCTCTTGCCTTCCTCTTCTACGAATAAATTATTTAGCTATGATTGGCTCCTAAACAAATACGCAATTTGAGAACTCAATTCATATTTTAGAATTAAGTGCATTTCAAATTCAAGAAAGTATTTGCTGAGCAACTGAATGTTGTTAAGAATTTTGAAATCAATTTACCTTAATTACCAGATTGCTTTAAGAAATTTGGTTCTCTCATAAATTCGATAAATTAAAATTTTTTACGAAATTAACTTTTTTCTTTGTTTCTCCAATGATATCTCTCATTAACTCTTACTTCTGGTCTTTGTTCATATTTCTAGTTTTCGAAATTCACAGAATTACCTTACACACCTAATTCCAATCACTGTCCATCAAAAGCAGTTTCAGTCAACTAAAATTAAAAGACAATCTGAAGTAGATGGGGAAGAGTAACGCCGAAGAACCAAGAAGACAGTTATTCATTTAGCAGAATCCTAATATCATTCATAGAATAGCATAAACATTTTTTGTTTCATTATTAGGCTTTATGTATCTGTCCAATATTTCTTATCTTACGGTTATTGTTAATTAAACTCTTGACTGTTTTCGCAGATTGATTCCCATTAATATTCAATATTTTAACTTCTAAAAGGAATGTTTTCCTAATGATGATGTTGCATGGTTATTGATGGCTGATATTGTGTTTGATGCGAAATATGTTCCATTTCGGTATTGATGGTTGATATTATATTCCATTCCGGTATTGATGGCTGATATTATCTTTGATTCGAAATATGTTCCTTCGGGTTCATTTTTTTTGTTGTGTACTTTTTTAACGGAAAATTTCACGATTGAATTAGAATAGCATAGTATGCCTTCATATTCACTTTATAAAGACACCGTCCCAGTATGCTAAGTTAATCTTCAAGCTTATCTCTATCCAATTATTATTATTATTATTATTATTATTATTATCATTATTATTATTATCATTATTATTTATTTATTTATTTATTTAATCTCTCTGAATTTACGTGCTATGAATTTAGTCGAATTAAGTGGTAAAGGATTTTTTGTAAGATTATGTTATCGATAAGAATGATAGGGAACTGAGATATTGAAGTTGTAATGTATAATTGTTTGAGCTACTGCATTTGTCCTATATCATCTACAAAAAATCGAAGAATTCAATGATTATTTGAAATGTCCCGCGAAGGCATCAAATATTAATAGTCATCTTCAAGGAACACAAAAATATTATTGATGATGTTTTACTTCGATGAAGCTGTTGAAACATTTATTAAGGCATAGAAAAAAATCGTCAAACTTCTTTCTTCCATTGTTCTGAACCATAATAAACACTGATGACAACAAAGAAACAACAATAATTAATTTATATTAATTTTACACGTATTGAAATCGCCATTGCACATTCCACATTTCAGTTCAAATGTTGGGGTGAAAGATTTATTTATTAGTGAACGAATAGATTCAAGTTTCCTTATTTAATATTTTTTTGTGTTCAGTTGTTGATTTTCGAGTTGCTCCATTGAAATTTAATGCCACCCACTCAAGGAACGTGTTTTATGATGAGAAGTCTAGCTGGTAATGCTGGAGATGTATTTCCGGAAATAAGATTTACAGTATCAATCTGTTTTGTTTAATATGTCCACAGTGCCAATCTATGCAGCTTATCCCTATTACTAGATGGTTAAGCGATAAATACCGGAAGTTTCTTTATAAATAATAAATAGGAAATGGAAATGATTACATTTGTCAACACATTTCTCTATCGCTTGTAAAATCAAACCCCGAATCGGTAACTTTATTCTCATGTGTGATTTAAATCCTTTTGCAAGCATTCAGATTTTTCGTCTTCATCCTTTCTGCTGACTCATACTTTACAGACTTTTGAATCCATACTGAGTGAATTCCACTGCTTTCGATTAAACCAATAACAACAGTGAATTAATAAGTTCAAAGTCATGATAGCTGAAATAATTTTGAGAATTCTTCTCGAACAAGATTCGCTAATGAAAGTTCAAAGGTATATGGTCACCTTGACGAAAATGCCAAATATAATGTGGCAAAACGAAAACGGAATGAAAACAGTTAGAAGAAGAAATCTAAATAATAATAATTTTCAGGTTTGAACGTTTTGCTTTTGTCGAGATTTAATGTTATTGAAGTGATTTCTTTCGGATCTCATCAGAATTCTTGCCAAATATTGCTGCTGAATAGATTTTTTATCACACTGTTAATTCTTCAAATATTTATTCCCTTAAAAAAATATAGAAAAAAAGAAGGTAAAAGAGAATTTTGACGTTATGTAAATTTCGGAACTTCCATTTGGCAGCACAACTTGACACATTTATATTTGTAGACGGCAAGTCGGTAAATTGGACTAAATCATTTATGAATTGGCTTTGAAGATGGGAAAGAATGAGAGGAAAAAAAATGCAAAAATTGAATATTTAAGTGGTGAATCTTATCGTTTCATCTTTTCATTCTGAAATGATTATATTTTCCAATATATTCTCTATGACTTCCTCTCTCTCCAGGCCTCATTCTTTTGCATAAAGTTTTCACTTTATTATAAATTATGTTAACTCTATCACTAAGTGGCCAACCGCAAGTTTATTTTCAACAGTTACTTTGTGGCACTTTTCCGACACCTTACTATCCCTTATTATGCAGCAGGATACTATGAAAAACTTTAAAAAATATTTTTGCTGTATATTTTTGATACGCTTGCAAGTATACATTCATTTTGATGATTTTACTCTGTTTTACCAAAACCAGTAAAAGTGCATATGTTTAATAAATGAGTTAATGTTCATCGAAGTAAAACTATTATCACAGAGATTATCTTAGGAAAAGCCGAACCGAACGGTGAGGAAACTTCTAACATTTGTTTTTTTAAACATACCAATCGCATCCTCAATAAAAACCAATTCTTTATAAAATTTCGTCTCCATAACAAAAGCAAATATGTGTGTGTTTGAATTCAAATTTGAAGCGCTTGAGAAATTTGATCTTTCATTCCATTTGATGGTTTCGATCAGATACGCTTGCTATCTTTGTAGAAGTTACTTTTCAAGTTCATTTCTAATATAAAAGTAATTAAGCAAAGAGACATATTTGAAAAATTGTTGGATGAAATAGAAAGTAAACTTTCTTGATTCCTCTTGTTTATTCCCATATTTATAATGAATTTTGTGAAATAATTTCTAATGTTTAAATCTTTTAAGATGCATTTTCATGATTCTTCTCTTAATGATCTCATTACAATGTTCCATATTCATTTTAAAAACTATTAATTAACCAATGCTTATTTTTGTCCACTATTTTAAATATCACCTTAAAACTCTTAAAATTTATGCACATGGAAAATGTTTTAGGTAACATGCAAAATTCCGCAACAACACTGACGAAAATACCTCCGATACCAGCACCAAAACCGAAGATATGTCAATTGAAATATCAGCATGGTCAAATTGCTAAATTTGGGAAGCTTTCAAGAAGCACTGCTGGTAATATTGGATTTCAGAACTTATCATTTAATTATTTATTGTTTTTGTTAATATATACTTCCTCTTTCACTTTCACCTGTGCCAGTCAGTGAACCACTGATGATGAATCATGGAGTAACAGAGAAGCCATTTTAGACTGCGAATGGTTTGGAAGAGCAGGGGTGCTCAATTTGACAGTTATGAAGATGGTGACTAGTTTGTTAAATATCATGAAGCTCAACAGGACAATACTGTTGATCCGGAAACCAGGATTGCTTCATTTGTTACAGCTTTAATTTAGCTTACTGCTGGTTCTTAGTAAGTGATACTTCCGAAATAGTAAAAATATAAAACGGAGAATGAGATACAACTTCAAGGAAATGGTATCGAAGGATTAAGAGAAAATGCGGCGGGAGGGATTGATGCAGTAGGTCTTTCATTTTTTAGCTTTTCTTCATTCAGCTTCCTTTGTCTATCTATCCTATCTATTCTTTTCCGGATCGTCATCGTCTAAAATTCCATCCAGAACATCATTCTCTTCCTTTTCCTCTCCCGCTTTCCTTCCTGCTAAACGAAATTATTCTTTTACACTCTTTTGCTATACCGCACTTGCAACAAAATATTTCATAAAGTTTACTCGAGAAATATTTTGTCGATTAATTGCAACAAATACGCTTTCCATTTGAGAATAAATTTATCTACTTCCGAAAGGAATTAAACTCCAATACTAACTAATGTGTCACTCAGTGTCATTGAGAATCGTTAGATGCTTTTTGAAATATTTACAAGTTTCGTGATTAATATGATCCTAACAATTTCTGTGAGCAGTGAACCTTTACCACTTCTGAATAGCTCAAAGTGACGCGCACTACGACGTACAGCGATTGCTTGAGTGCTACTCGGATGAATGGTTAAATTGACACGAACCAGGTTTATGTTCACTTCACTCGGGAAAGTTCAGGCTGACAGAGAATAGAAAAGTTGACTGCGTGATGATAAAGTGGTGCATAAGCATGGTCATTATTGTACATAAAACACTAATGCAAATTAACATCACTATAGATAACATAATACAATTACCTATATTAAAATGATTTACAGGTGGCCAGTTACCTCAGCCACCAGGTGATAGTGATACGGATTCAGGCATATGCGCGGACTCGGATAATCAGTTATCACCGCGACACATTAATGTCAGATTTCTTGGTGATAAATCGAAAAAACTGCAACATAAATTTGAAATCCCCGTGTATCGTGAGCATCTAACACCGGAAAATGCATGGTATGATCCATTTACGCTCAAGTGCGAAGTTCAGTTTTTCCATGAATTTTTTCCATGAATGAAATTAGAAAGAATTTTTTTGCCATATCAGATCGGCCATAAAATACAAGTTATTCCATTAAACTCTCGAGACAATCGTGTTTTGAAAATAATTTGATACTTCTACAATTGTATTGTGGTGATTGGGAGGTAATTCCCAATAAACACATCTCTGTTGAGAAATTGGATAAAATCAAAATGAGATTATCAATCAACATGCAACCCGGGCGTCTTATCATCACATTGAGATAATAATTTTCTGTGCGTTTGGACAAATTCTATCAGTGCGGTCGGGAATTGACTTAACCATGGAGAGATTAAATAATAGTTCAATTATATTAAAACATTTAATATTTAATTTGTCCAAAATGGAGAGATAATGATTAATGATTAATGCTTTGTTTTTATGAACTTTTGATTTGAGAAACTTTTATATTTTAAATTGCGATGAAATTGGACGGAAAGATAATAATTGAACATATTATGTTTTATGAAGCGTTTAAAATAAGGACAATGGGAATGAAAATGGAAGAAAGCAAAGAAAGGAAAAGAGTTATCATAGAAATTAAATTAAGCTAATGATGTGCAACAGATTAATAAGTGATCAGGAGAAATAAGCATTTAGCAACCAAAAAGCAGGCAGTCATCTCTGAGTGGTACTAATACTTCCGGTCACTATCACTTCACACTAGATGTTTATATCCTTCCATTTTTTTGATTTCATCATTTTTAAATTATCTTTTTTATTTTGTTTGCATTCTATCTGTTGTTCTCAAAAAAAGTTGTAGATGGAGTAGCTTCTAAATGAATATAATCAGGAGGGTGGCTTTTTCTACCTCTATCACTTCCTCTGTTAAATCTTACTTTTTTTAGGAGAGTGCCCACAAATTTATCTAAATTGTCATACCAAAGACGCTTACCGGAGAGACTGCAAATGAATTGCTATAATGGTCAAACATCGAAGAATGGAAAACAGTACCGTGTTCGATTTGCGGATCAGGTATTATTGTCTTCGACGCTTCTTTACTACAATTCAAGTTATCTATTGCAAAAAGTGCGGAATAATAAAACTTGGAAATAAAGCACCTTAACAGTTACAATTTTCTGGATATATTATAAAAAAAATAAAATGAAGTTTATGATCACCCTATTTAAAGTTCACAAAGATCTTTCTGAAAAGTTGCGAAATTAGATTGAGGTATAGCATCGAGATATAGTTCAGACAACTTATAAATAAGTAAATTTATGAAGAAAGATAAGAAATTATGGACATGACTGCCTGTGTATTATTATGGTTAATTATATCATTTACATGGCTATCAGACATTTTAACCCAAACTCAATTCTGGACTTCTGGCCCAAGAAATAAAAATGTAGGAAGTTTCTTCCAATTGAAAAGAAGATGTTGGCAAGAAATGACTGGGCTGAAAACAAGCTTGAAGACAAAAAGAAGTGGCTGATTATCATTACCAATGCTGCATATTTTTACCCTTTGCACGAATCGTTCCGGATTAGAGGCTCTAGATTTCAGTGTTCAGCTCCTTATCCAAAATTGGATTCAAGAAGTGAAGTACTTTCTTTACTAATTGTCTCTTATTATTATTTATTTTATAATTATTATTGAAAGGTGTCATCAACTGATGGCGGTTCGTCGTCCTCTTCATCCTGCTGGGACAATACCGATCTGATAAGTGTTACTAGTTGCGGTAGCAATTATTCCGACTGCTATCGTTCGTCTACGGAAGCAGCGACAACAACATCAATAATATCAGCGAATAATCCTGATCAGGTACTACCGACAGTTATTAGCAGCAACAGCAATCGTGTCATCAATAAGCTTTCAGGCCAACAATGTGTCATGGACAACCAGTTCAGTTTTGGTATGTATTTTAAGAAATAAATTTTGTCAAATAACATGAATGCTTCGGCCCAAATTTTTGTTGCGCCGTTATACAAACGACTTCAGTCTGAAATGAAATCTGATCTTTTTCACTTTATCGAATGAATTGTTTTTATGCCAGAGATAGAGATAAATGCATTGAACTAATTCATTTGGTAAATGAATCTGGTTTCAATCATTTTTGAATTGGAAAAAATTTATTGGAAATAATTTGTTAACAATCAATTGATAAAAATACCGGGTTTATCTGAATACATCTGTCTTCCAATAATCTGTAATGCACGCTGAACACAACCGAACGATGAAAATTATTTAATTTGGTTTATTTTGAATCAGGAACATGAATCAAAATTAAATTAACGTAAAAAATATCGCCATCTCATCAGCCTCTTCTTTTACAAATGATTTTGATTCCTTTTGAATTTAAAATAATTTCAAAAAACATCCGATTCATTTCAGTCATTTTAATGTTTCAGCAGTGTAAGCTATCACATGACTGATAAAAGTAATAAGGGTATCATCTAACCTGTTTTAGGTTACAATTGTCATTCTCAACCGAAGCATCAATATCAAATTAATGGATCTTATGAGCAGGACGATACTACTTCAGCACCTCTACCTCAATCGCCAGGCTATTATTCTATGGCCATGACGAGGCTTAGACGTAGCGATAATCAATATCTCACTCATTCAAATGTATTACATAGAATCATCTTGTAGTATTACATCATTTGTAATTGCATTTGTAACATTCATTTGTAAAGAGTAGATTTTAAACTAAAAACTATACTTCTTACCGTAACAATTTGCATAGGAATTGTTACCTGTTATAAATACATTTTTAGGTAATAATAGTATAGACCGTAATTTAATAATTCCGAATTCATAGTATTAATCAAATGCAATATTTTTGGACAAAGTTTTAGGAGGTATAGGAATATTTATATCCATCCATATATGATTATTTAACTAAGAATTCTTTTACAGTATTCGAAATGATTAATTTAACGCTTCAGATGTAAATAACCCGAACAATTTTTCAAATGAACCAAACTCCTGATAGTTAAAATATTGAGCAAATAAACTTCCTACTGCTTTAAGATATACCGTAACATACGAGAATCTTCTCATTTCTCGCAAGAAATGCCCTTTAATTTCTTTCAGGAACCATTTTTTCGACGTTTCCATAATCGTTCGGTATCGTTACCCCGTGGAATACATCGTCAATCAGTCACCTTAGAAATACGCCGCGGATCCATTGATTGTAGCAACTCGCAGCACGATTATTCATCATATATGGTCAAGATATAAAAAGATAAACGACAATTCAAATAATGATTAAAAAAAATAGTCGAGACTAATTCGTAGTTAAATTGAGAGTTGAAAGTAATTTCGTAGATTGGTTTGGTCTAAATAAATCGGACCATATGATTTAAATATATAATATATTCGAATTTGAGATATATTTCCTAATGCATTAAACTCCGAAATGCAGCAATAGAAAAAGATGGATTAAAATGAAATGGTTTAATATTGCTCAGGCTTGATAACATTGAAAGAGCCATTCCATGATAAACATGCATGTGTAGTAAATCTTCGGGCAAACGAATACTTTGGTCATTTCGAATTTAAATCAACAATTGCTATTTTAAATTCAATTAAATAATCTACCAGCTACTGCTAGAAATCCGCTAACATTATATGTGTCAATAGAGATAAAACAAGGAGTGTAAGACGGTAAAGAGTGGCTGTTGGCGGATGTGGAGATTAAAGTTATCAGATTTGTTTAACTCACATCAGCAAGACAATTGATTACTGAGGAGGCTTTATTGTCTTGATCTTGGTTATCAAGGGTGTATCGTATTGTTTTCATGTCTTATAATCCTTTTTATTAGATGATTCTCCTTAGCAAATTGAAATAAGGCCCACAGATGTTAATTTAAATGCCGAATTGAAGTGAAAAAAACCTCAAGACTCTTTTTGTTGCAGTCAGAGGATGAAGCCACCAGCAATGCTTATTTGATGCATAGCGTTGATAATCTTAGCATTACGGAGAGAGGTCAAAGTTCACTTATGAATGATACGAGCTTAGGCAGCGGACGTCGTCTTCCGGAATTGCCAATCGATTATGTTGCATATGATAGAGCTCTTCAGCAATCTACCTTTAGTAATCAAAGGTTTGTATTTCACTTCTATTGACTGTCCATATGTTGCAGAGACAGGATATGCACAAATAAAATCTTCCACATTCAACAACTCCATCCATTTCTTTTCCATTTCCAGAAGATAACTGGGTTAAAAACTTCTTCTGTAATAGAAAGCGCAATCAATTAAATTCCTTCATCGTTTATGAACCTTATTGAATGAATTCACTTTGAATTCATTGAATAAGATTCACAGACGATGAAGGAATCTAATTGATCCTTACAGAATTTTTCTATAAATTTCCCACTTGTCTTTACAAAAACATATTTCGTGGATAATTGCTCCATTTTGAAATAAAAAGATAAAGTTGTGCATTACAGGAGGAAGATACGAAAAGCAGGTGTTAATGGACGTTCACAGAATGTTGGTCGAGCATCTCACTCATTCGATTCTAAAATGACCAGTACAAATAGCTGTTGCATTCCCTCGCTTCATCAGTATATATCCATCTTTTTTGTTCATTTTTATACCGTTTAATAAATCCCTCTGGCTAGCAAGCCTAACAGTTACTTTAAAGAAACAAGTGAAATGATCATAGTGAACGCTACTCGACATTGTTCAAAACTAAATGTATACTAATAGCCACCTGCAGGTCTCATTTACCATCTGTTCGAGCTCAGCTAATTGCTCTCGATCATAGAGGCTTGCGAATTGTCTTGATTGAAAAGCTTCAGCCGGGTCCATTCGGTTTTTATGTCGCTACTGGAATACTTAACCAAAAACATGGTATGTTCTTTTCCTTTAACGTGTTAAATATTCTCGAGAACTTGAAGATTCAGGAAGTTAACCTGACGAAGTAAGTTCTAATTACTGGAACAAACCAATAAATTTTTCTAACATATAACTGGTTTTAAAAACAAGTTTTAAAAGAGGAGAAAAAGCTAAAGCTAATAAAAATCATCGTTAAAATACAAACGGCCAATATTCTTTACTGAAAGTTTCCATTTGTCTTTAAAGCTCGAGTTCTCTCAGGAATCTTCATCTCTCGAGTATCATTACCTTCATTGGCACCAGTACTATCGGTGGGTGATGAGATTATCTATGTGGAAGATGAGTTGGTCAAAGGCGAGGATCTGGAATATGTTCAGGCATTAATTGCTGGCAAAAGTAGCGTGAAGATTGTTCTTTTACCAACAGTTGGGCCAAGTATTTGCTGAATTATGCCAGCGCAATTAGAAATTTATCGTAAAATTTCTTTTACTTATATCACCTACCCAAAAGTTATGTTTGCTGAACAAACACAATAGTGCGCTAAACGCCAAGCGAATTTGCTTAACTTCTAACAAATCCTTACTCTGCTCACACTTATATTTGATATTCAGTTTATATTTGGCATCCGGTTTTTGCACTAAGATTGTCCTACCCAACTTATTTCTTCAAGTAAATAGAATAAAGCATTTAGATGTCAGGCATATCTACTCGAATTCACTTCATGAAACATTCATGTTTTGCTATTTACGTTTTATTATATAACTTGTCCCTTCTTATTGTTTGGGTAAAACATAAGAACCGTCCTTCTCATCTTATCACTACATACTGTTTCCATTGCAATTTGTTCGTTCTTCTTAACCTTTAACCTTTTCGTTTCTCTCAAATTCCAATAAAATTGCTGGTAATTATAATACTGTCCACTTCTGTTATCTTCAGTACTGAACTATCATAAAGTTTACCTACCAGTTAGTTAGCAATAATTTTCACAAATAACTAAAGTGCATAAACAATCGTAAATCATTTCAGACGAAACTCAATTTTTTTTCCGAGCTTCCCTCAGACCTTAAGAGAGGGGACTAAGAAATCACTTCCTATCAAATATAACCGCAGATACCTGAAAAAAGTTAAATCGTCCATTCAGTTTGCGCCCCTACGTGAAAACATGCTCAGCGAATGCTTCAAAAAAAACATTATTTTTAACATAAAACGTAAAAAATCATCTTATCAACGAATTGGTTCCACTCGTTGATTAAATTCTTAGTATATTGATCACTTCCACTTTCTCCAGTAGCTATCGGGCACATTAGGATTCAACTGCATTCAATGGATGTTTCTCATGTGCAATTATGCAAGCATCCCTAAGAAGAGCTTGGTAACCAAACTTCTTTCTCTAGCTAAGGATTGACTGAAAAGTTTGCTTCACAAAATGAGTTAAATGCTTTTTTTAAACTGCTTCCTTTCTTGTGCTCACATGCTCAATCATCTATTTGTACATGTTGTTTTGCTGTATGTATGGCATACTAAATCCTTCATTTAAACACCATTAATCCTCAAATGTTTAATTCATCCTTTCTTTTTTGAATGATGTATGAGGTACTTCTTTTATTTGAACACAACAGAGGCCACCAATTAACAAAAGATTTGTAAAAAGAATACCGTTAAAAGATCAAACTGGAAAACATCGCACAACGCAAAAGAAAAAAACTAAAAAAAAAAAGCAGAAACAAATTTTGGTAATGTAATGGAAATAGCTTTACCTTCCAAAATATAAACTACCAATGCTTTTTTGGAAATCAGCAAGTAAAATATTATAGAAGTAACGAGATAATCAGGAATATATAAACTCTGGACCTTTGTTGTTTTCGAGAATTTGGAGAGATATCATGAAAATTTATTCCTCGGCATGCTTGGTAAAAAACTCCATTATTAATCATGCCATCATTTATTTTATATTAGTGACTGTTTCATTGATTGCTTTAGCGACGTATTCAACATTTTGTGGATTTAATCCACAAACATTTATTCGTCCATCCTTTAGCAAAAAAACTTTGTGTTCCTTGACAAGGTGATCAACTTGTTCCGCTACAAAATTAGAAAATCATTGATTCAAATTTTGCCACATTTTCTACTTCTTCAATAACAGCTATAGCCCCTCTAAGTAATGGCTCGAAGAATGTAGTCAAATTTCTCCATGGACCTCTATCTTCCTCTTGCTTCTTTTGTTCAAATACTCTTCATTTTCATCTCTCTTCATTCATCCAGAAAAAAAGTAAAAATCAAAGGCAAAACGCACCATTAAGACCACTGAATGAAAACATGCCAATTTGTTGTGTAATATGCTCCCACTTTCCAGGAGTGCCAAGTTTTTCTAGGTTTTCTCGTAATGCTTGTCGCATATTCTTTATGCGCAAAGACATTGTCTAGAAGATATTTTGAGAGAAATCATATTTCAAATGCATAAATTTTCAGCTACCATAGCTAAAGGAGTACTTGAAGTATAAATAGAAAATTGCTTTCTAACATAACGACCTACTTAGTGTAAGAGACAATGTACCACCCACCTCTACTTTTAGTTCGACATACAAACATATTTCCGATCATAACTTTCGTCTGTGTAGAGTAGATATCCTTTTTAATTATAAAGATGACATTGATATCACTTTTTGAAATTCCAATTTCACTTTCCTTGCTACCAGTATAACAGTCCAATCATTCCATCAACAGTCCATCTTCTAATGCTTATTCCGTCAGGTCCACTATACCTGCAATAACAAAAATTAATAACAAATAACTAACCTTTATAGCATCATGCCATTGGACACACATACTTGGCGATGTTAATATCATATGCACAATTCTTGCACCATGATTGGGAGGATTTGACCAATTGGATCGAATAACTAATGACATTTGTGATTTAAAGTTTGTTAGTGCCAATGGATCTGATACTACAACTGTCAGATTGCCAACTCGTTCATCTGCAATCATCCAGAACCTGTGGAAATGCGAAGAATGAAATTATTAGAATTAAAAAATGCATGGATGCTAAGTATTTCGCTAACATTTCTAACAGTACCAAAATTTCAACTGATCATATAACCAATAATTACAAAAGCATTTACTATAAAGGCCAAAATTCTTGGCGAATGACTGTGCGCAAAAGATCTCCAATCCTTGCTCAACAAAATATCGCACAGCCCAGGCATCCGCATCCAGATCACCACTTGCGAAGCCTTGATAGGCAAGATCGAAAAATGGAAAAAGCTGCCTTTTCTAAAAGAGAAAAAAGAAGACAATATGAATTGGGACATTTCGGATTTTTCAAGTCTCTTACTTCCTTTTAAAAGAAGATAGCCGAAAGACCTCTTGAAAAGGATTTTAATTTTAACAGTTTTAACACATGCCACGAAAACTTTCGCAATCTGTTTCCACTGGTCATGAGTCGGATCCATACCAGTTGGATTGTGGGCACAACCATGCAAAACCACTATAGAGCTAAAACAAAAAACAAAGAACTTTGCTACCATATTTAAAATCACTGATTACTTTCTAAATTCTCTCAGCGCATAGCTCCAGTTAATGTCACACGAAGTTTAGCACTCTCATCCTTCATCCGCTTAATGCTTGCAATCTACACTGTAGCAGCCTTATCATAGAGATTCTTAAATTAAAAAAAGTAACAGGAAAAAAATACGGCATGGAATAAGAAAAAAAAATTAAGTGAAAAAGCATCTACTTCTCAGGTGCAATCTCAAGATCGGCCAACATGTCTTTCATATTAATACAACGATTTGTTGCATCCCAATAACAGTATTCACGTATATCCGTAAAACCAGCTCTTGCAAATATTAATTTATGATTACTCCTGAAAAACTCCATAAATATTTGAATCATTTCACAGAACTTCGAATAAGAACAATTCGAAGAGTATCATAAAAGAATTCACTACAATAATCTTTAAGTTAAAGCATAACCGTCGGACTTAAAATAATGAAACTTTATATCTTCGCCTAAAAGTACATACGATAAATTTCACATACAACATATATTTATAATAAAGATAATTTTTAGCAATATCGCCTCCTTTTGTTTCTAATCTTTATCATTCGAGAGAATAAAAGTGAGGCTCCAGAGCTCTAGATTTTGAATACTTTACCTTAGCAAATTTAACAAACTATGTAATAGGCTTCCAAAAAGATTTGCTCAACTTTCACGTCATTAACAGTCGAAGAATACAAAACTTACCAAGTTGGTTTAGAAATGTAAACCGTTTTCATTTTCATGACAAAATTGAGAAAATCAGCTCCAGCTTTTAGTGACCCCGTACCAGAAAGGCATTGCACACCCGTAGCCTAAAAAAGAGATGAAAGGTTATCATTATTTTCCAATTAAAGTACTCTCACTTAACACACTACAACTCCTATATTCTGCAATTTTTTTTTCAAGAGCATGTAATTTGACTGAAACTTATAAATCAGTGCTGCCTACTTGAACTACACAATTCTAAATTCCTAAATTACAAACTTTTCCAGTTTTGATAGTCGGTGAATTCTTCCCAAGAACTAATTCCACTGCCGCATTACAAAATGGTTCATAACCAAGCACTGGTAAATATTCATGATCCATATTGTCTGCAAGTCGTTTCTCCGCTTCACGGACCACTGGCAATACCCATGGTTTCCCTTCTTCCGTACGATATGCTGAAAAGGAATGTAAAAAATGTCAGTAAATATGAGAAATAAGTGAAGTTAAAAATTTTCCGTAAAATCTGATATCACTACATAATTTTCCAAATAATCTCTTCTTCTTAAATGAAATTTAGCACACCTCCAATAGTTAAATTAACTTTATACTGCGCCGGTTCATCTTGATACATTTTGTTCATGTAAAATACCTCAATAGGAGGTGCAACCTCTATGTTCCTGAAGAAAGATGCCATTTTTGTATTCCTGGAAAACTAGAGAATGTCACATTTATGAAATGAATTTAAAAGAGAAAACAAAAAAACAGCGTGTCAAACAATACTTTCATATACATAGGAACTAAAAAGCTTCAGAATAATTTCGTAATAACGCGTTATCCACTTTTCAACATTACCGAGTACTGATTAGAAATCCACGATAGACGTGGAGTTTCAGTCATGAAAAACGTTGTGATATTCTCGAATCAATGGTCTGAGAGGTTATTCGCAAACGCCGACTCGATTAAAAATTGTAAGCGGAATTAAGGTCACCTAGTGGGACGAAGAGATTAATGTAAAGTAAAGCACTTCGGATGGATAGTTGAAAGTTAGCAGTCCGGAAAAAAATTAGATCGCCAAGAAATCAGACCTTCTATCGGCCATCTCATTGAGAAACAAGAACAAATATTGAAGAGAGGGCTGAGTTTGTTTGGATTCGTTGAGTTCGCCGTGTTTCCGGAGAGATGGTAAATAACGGGTTACGACCAATGAAATGAGCTTAGAGCAATTTGGGCACTAATGAGCAAAGGAGATAGAGGGTTAGCTATGCTTTGTGTACGGCGAAGATGACAAGAGCTGAATGGATCATTTCTATCCACTTACAAGTGTCAATGGATCAACCGTACTTTTGAATTGTATTCCAGGCTTAGGACAGATACTAAACCATTGGTTGCTTTCATCCTCAATAAAGTACGATAAGTCCTTTAATTTTCAATATAAACTGTACAGACTTTTTATCCACTTGCAAGTGTCAATAAGAGAGATAAATTGTTCCCTTCCTGTTTTTGAGACTTCGTTTATACGATGGATCTAGAGTTACATTACCACAATCAGAATTATTTCAGGCCTACACTTAGGTTTTCATCAATCAAAAAGTCTCCCAAGCCTCCTTTCTAGGGTATATCTGAAAAAGAGAAAAGAAAATATACCACGGAAACTTTTCATTGATAAAAGATAAGAAGGAAGAAATAAGCTTAGAACAATTTTTACGGGAAAAAAATCTAAGATTTGGGATGGGATCTATAGTCATGAAACTTCCATTTCTTCTATAGGAACAATCATTATCCAAGAAAAATCCACTTCTACTACTCGAAGTACCATTTTTCAACTGTAATAACAAATATCTGAACAGTGAAAATTATCAGATAATCCATAATGATTACTAATTATTAACAAAGAGGGATACCAAAATAGAGAAGGAAAATAAAAGTTAAAGCGAAAACCCATAATGGGAAGGTGAAATGAGCGAGTGATGATATTATTAGTTGAAGGCATCAACAACGGCTCAAATACGAACATTCATGTAGTTGATATCATAGTACCGGGAAATGAGAAAAATTAAATAATTCATTGCCGTGGTCTTCTTCCTCCTCATAAACCGAAATTGAAAAAAGAAAAAACTTCATCCATTTTTTATTTAATTTTTATTAGTTAGCAACTTATTTAATTAGTTAATTTGTTGTGATTAATTCATTTTCTCACTATTCGGCTTACTAACTTCATTCCTATCTGTTTCGCTCTTATCACTTTCAGTTTCTTCTGTTTCATTCTATGTCATGAACAATAATACATGTACATTTTTCAAGAATACCTTATAATTAACTAAATCATTCTCATTTTATTAATCAGATCGACCAAATGTAACAGATGACAATTATCGGTACCTGGATATATTTAAGAAAATCTGCTGTCAGTTCAGTGACTGAAATACCAAGAATGTTCCAAACGGATGGCCTGTGACAGGGTGGCCAAGCCAACATGAGTAACAAAATATTGGCCAATTATAAAAGGAAGCGCTATATGCACATGGTCAATGGAAGAAGTAATAGAAAGTTAGACCATTTAGAGAGAGTAGGTCACGAAAGCCTGCTATGAAACACTGTGAAGTCAAAGGAGGATTTCTTTCCCATGTGCCATTAAAAGTGGCGTCCAACACCCTCCGTAGAAGACGTCGGGCCCAATCTGGCGCGAATGTTCGAGATGTGTTTCATCCAACTGTTTTGCGAGGTGGAGAACCGCACACTGTTGACTGTGTTTGACCCAACTCTTAGCCTAGAAACCGCCTCTGACTGATGTGATGCGTTCTTGCCGGTGTGGTGCGCGTTATTTCCCAAGTTGCCTCGGGAAGTAATGCATACCTCTCGGTCTACTACCAGGCAGCCTGCGGTATTACCGCCGGGCCTGGGAGTCCATCCACTAATTTCATACTCATTGCTGTAGTCCACTGACCTGCGTGTGGCCGTTTTGTTTGCTACTTGTCGCGATAGATCGATCCTACGCCGTGAGAATTTGGACGCGCCAATCACACCCTGCAGAACAACTCTATTAATACAATGAGCAATTGCTTGCAGGAAACTTTTGATGAGATGGTTAATTTTTCTTTGTTTTCTCTGCCATCTCTTCCTACCGTCATGATGTTTTGCAACGAATAAAGCCTTCCTAAATATCAAACAGTTGCATCTCGCTTCGTTTGTTCAACTGGATGATTTTTAGCCCACGCACTATACCCAAAATTTTTTGCGTTCTAGCTTTATTAACCCAGCTTCAGGTCTTCCTTAACAACAGGATAAGGATTCGGTTAATTTCGCAGATTTCGTTTCGGCAGATTGTGGAACCGCTCCAATGGTTACCAGATGTCGGCGAAGAAATCAATATAATGTAAATAGGAAATACAGCATTCAGGCATGACACAAGAAAACCGACACTTTGGCCTGATGAAACACCGAAAGCACCACCCGTCTTCAGCGTTTTCATACAGATGTGGTTGCGTCACGAAATTCTTGGAGGAAAGAAAAGAAAAGAAATAGAACAAGCAAGCTATTGCTTATTTCTTTCGTTGATAATTACTAAAACTCAACGGTCCTTTGCAGTGCGTTACCATCGCATCCAATTTATGCATTTTTATGTAACTGTAACTTTTATGCAACATATGTAACTACAAACTTTACGACAGAATTCATTGATATCAAAGAGATCTTCCAGCAGAAAAAAAAATAATATTTGATAAATACTTATATTAGCAACAATCACAATTTGCAGAAATCTAAGCTATTGACAACAAATAACGGAAGAAATCGCAACTCGTCCAAACTCGTAGATTAAGAAAAGCTGCATCCATTTAAAAATTGCAAAAATTCTAATTTAGAAGGTTAAAAAAATTAAGTGTTATCGATCTAAATTAACATTAATTAAATTAACATGATCAGTGCCATGTGTTTTCATAAATCGTCCAATCCATTCCCTTTTCCAATTGAACGTCTAATGAACTAACACACATCAAAAAAAACAGAAATATGAATTCTTGAACAGCGTCAAACCATCCCACTAATTAATGAAAACCAAAGATGTAAGATATGGACAAAATTTAGTACTTAATTTTGATGACAAAAGAACTGAAATAATTTCATGGTACATGTTCTCAGCCAAAACCAATATACGGTTGTCATATTTAACATTCACTTCATATTCCTGCTCAACCGTCACTAGTTGTTACAACATAAAGGAATTGCAGATAATTTCTCCCAATATAACTTGAAAATGATCATTTGAAAACTGAAACAAAGGGATGATCATGTACGCACCTGAAATCTTCCAGCTTTAGTGATATATTTAACACCTTTGAACGGCTTGTACTTTTCACCATACAAATCCAAGCGATTCACTTTTAACCCTGATACAGCCAATTGATTAATTTTGAAATATACGGTAATTGGCGGTGCTTCCACATTTACTGCACTGCTCATGGAGACCTAAAGGTAAACATGTATTCTTTCCAATTATTCAGGACAGTCAGAAAATTAAGCGGTCATTTTTGAGCTGCACATTTCTCAACGAATTATTTCAGAAAATATACAGTAAGCGTTTTTAATTTTCCATTTCTTCTCTTAACAATTAAAAATGATTTACTGAATTGGGCTCAAATCATAAAGCAGAATTTGGTGAAAAACGGCTGTCAGAAAAAGTGTAAATGTCATTCGTGCAGGTTTATGACAAACTCTCTGTTAAGAATTGGGAAAATAGCGTAATTCTTAAATTGAATTTTTTTCAGGATATTTCCAGGAACGTATTTAGACAAAAAGAATCATCTAAAAGGAAGTCAAAGAAAAAGCATTTGCAGCAAAGCTGAGGGAGAAGAGTGAAAAAGTACAACATACAGTTCCTTTTAAAGTTGGTGGTTTGCCCAGTTCAATCTTTCCGATATTCCATTGAAGCAGTTTCGTCGTCGGATCAAAAGAGCATTTTCCAGTGCTCGATATTAACATACAATTTTGCACTGGCTTCGGCATTGTCATCTCCACGATAACATCTTCCAACTGAAAATTTCCAGAGAATTTAGGTATACTAAAAAAACATGCTTCGTTCACGTTATCTGTAAACTTACCATTTTGAAGATTTTTTTCTTTTTGAAAATTCTGAAGACTAACTCGGCAAGTCCTTTTCATAAACAATCAACCAGGCTTCCATTCAATTCATCCCTCCCGTAATAATTCTGATGGCGGGAGGAAATAAAAAGGAACAAGAACGGCATTATTATACAAAATCAAAGCTGAGACGACAACTCCTACCACTTTACCCATACTCTGCTTTGGACCAACTGTTAGCTCGACTCGTCCAGTAGTGCCTGGCTTAAGCGACATATTATGACGTACATATACCGGTATTGCAACCATACTAAAAAATAGAGAACATTTTCTTTAAAGGGCGTGAAAAGAACCAGAAAATAAATTCTGGACACTCCGAAATTTCTTCCTGAAATCTAAAAATCACTCAGCACAAGAACTATTCGTTTTTTTTTTTACTTTTTTTTGATGCAATCGCATGCCCGAACTATTTTATTCGACTTGTTAGAAAAGATTTACCGTATCAACCACGAAACATTCTATTCATTGATGTTCATCAAAGTCCTACGATATTCAGCATTTGGAAATTATTGCTCAAAAGAAAGCTTTATTATTAGTAACTTACTTCTGCGAACCAATATGATAGGAGAGTAGGCGAAAATTTCCATCAGGTGGTACAAATGACAGTACTCGCTCATTCTGTTAAATTCATGAGAATTAATATTAATCAAAAAAATAGTATTTGAAAAAATATCTATCAACCTCAGCGTCTTAGCAAATGTTTAAGATTTATGATTTGAGACTTCACCGTTTGAATGCTTTTATAACTTTAGAATTGAGGAAGTATATTGATTTCTTCGAATTGATATCAAATTGGTTTTTTTCTGTGTGAAAGTAACTTGCTTCAAATAAATAAAAAATGAAATAATAAAATACTTAGATAGATACCAAGATATATTCACGATCGCAATACTTATAAACCTCTTGATGATAAACGGATGCATAAATTGATTTGTAAGAAACAGTTATGCACAGAATATTAAAATAAAATTTGAGGATGCAAAGATCGTCAATAATTAATTCGGCTAGGTAAAGTTTAAATTACTAACATATCCTTGTATTTCAGAGAATACAGTAGCACCTTGCCGGTCAATTATGGCATCAATTTCCTCAATAACATCAAAGTAAGCTTCATTATTTGTATATTTAACATCAGCTCTTCTCCAAGGTATATTTGAAAGTTGCCCAGTTGGCAATACTTCCGAAACATTCGTTCGACCCATCATCTGCAAAAAGAAATTTTCTACAGGGACAACCATAGTCTTTCTCCTTCCATGATCACATTCAGCCTTATCATGTGCTTGAAATGAAAATATTCTCAAAAAAACCTGTTGATATTTCTGGAAAAAGAAGGTTCATTTGACCGATTCATCTAATCATTTAATCAAATTAATTTTACTTGATTAGCGATAGTCCGAAGGAAATTAGGAGGTTTGATAAGCTCTTGCAAAACATTCAATTCTGTAGCTAACGGAAAACCATTATCAAGCATTTCATCTAACAGCTGAAAAAAAGTTACATATTAATGAGTACAAAATAAGAAACATAAGTTTGGGATGATTGTCAAGATGAAACAATGATTAGAAATGGGAAGATGTAATAACTTCTATCAAAATGTAATAATAGAAATGAGCCATCGACAAAATTATGGGAATCTATTCCTCTTAAAATTATGACATTGATGCACAAATCATGAAAAAAATACTTCGAAAATCATGACACAGTTTTCTTTAACTGCATTGTCGGTGAATTCTTCGAAATATTCCACAAATGTAGCAATTACGCGATGTAAAAATTCGATCACCATTAATGGTGGGGCTAGAATTTATCTCTTAATATACCCAAATATCCTGTTCATCCTTATAAACACAAATAAGAAGAAATGTACAGTAGAGTATAATGAAATGAGGTGAAATGAGATAGTTTTTAGCTTTCAAATTATTTCTGTTGTTATTAGATGATAATCAAAACTGCCTATATAAAATCGCTGTATAAGAGCCCAATTTCGCGAGCAAAGAAACATTTGACAGTGATATGTACTTAAAAAAATTTAATCAGAAATATATGCAAAAAAAGTATAATTTAAAAAATCTAATGATCCCAGGACTAGGAAATTTCTGTCTTCCCATAAAAAATTATAAAACATGATCAAATTTTTCATCTCCCAAATAGGATAAATCTTGAAAGAACTCCACATAAAAAAAATGTCCATATAAATTTTTTGACGATCCACATAAATTCCAATTACTGCGAGTGATAAGACTTACTTTCAGACACAGTTACGGCAAGAAGATAAAGATGGTTGTGATAAACGCTGATGAGGTAATGATGAGGCGTTGATATAACTGGCGGTACATCTTCCGGGTAGGCTGCCTGAAATTGTCAACAAATCTCCATCAAATATTCTTCAACATTTTGCCTAGATTAGATTTGAATATTTCATTATTAATGGGCAATGTCTGGATTGGAACATATCACCTAGAAGAATATGGTTTTGAGAATATATCCATTCCGCATCTTAATTTTCTAGAAGAATAAGCCAATAAACCAGTAGGTGAATACAAAAAAAATGTGCAATCGACGCTGAAATGAACAAAACTGAAAAAGCTATGAGTTAATTTGATCCAAATAGCCTATAAAATACCTTTTTTTGAGCTTCGAAAAAGTAATCACATATCGATCGATGAATAACGGATTTCCAATGTTTCTCGAGAATTATGTCGCTGAAATAAGGTTGGATAATGAGACGTCTGGAAAGAAAGGAAGAAGATATGGAAGGAGGCGTAATGACTTTCTCGATCTCCACCATTAACATTTGGTTTCTGTAACAAATAATACGACTGATCCTAAGTTCATCTTGAATCTAATCGAGAGTTCTAGATTCACGATGAATCCTTTTAAACTATTTAGCAATAAGTCTGCTTTGGTTAAGTGAACTTCAGTGCACAAAAGAAAATGAAATTTCATGGTAGCGCTACCTCTTTGTGACTATTACTCATAAATTACCACAACCCAATGCAAGAAATAGGAACATCTTGCCACCTCACCACCGATTCAAAATTTCGTTGTTAGCTCATTCACCCGTTCATGATCACCCAATTAAACTGTAAACTACTGCTGATCATATCTGTTGGCCGTCCTATTCACTTACAAGACAGATTGAACTGCATTTATCAATTCAATCCGATGTCATTTCCTTGCACGTGATAGATCTAGTCTAGAAATCTTCTTGACCAGCATGAATTGTCAAACTTGACATTCTTCTCAACTAATTGTTCATGAGCTCGCAAGCTGGCAAGAAATTCCGCCACATATAACATTCGATATCACCGACCTCACAATTTAGAAACTCCATTTAACAGAGTTTTCAAACCGTAAGATCTGCCGGTCGTTCTCTGATATACGATTAACACTCGCCACTCTTCTCATTACTTTCAGTCCGTTTTCTTCAATATCTCCATCATATACACACAGATGTTGCTCCCAGCCATGTTTACTACCATGGCTCAGATCTATTAACCGTTGTTAATAAGGCAGCCAAATCCCTCTCAAAGTTCTTAGTCATCATCATCACCATCATCACACACGGTATCTTTATTTTCCAGTTGTTGTGGATCTTATCATTACATCAACTTCTTTCTCAGTAAACTTTTTCCCCAGTCTGAAATATCGTATACACTGATTTCTGGCCATGACTGCCTCAGATTTAACACCTTTCCATACACAATCCTTTCAAGTCTGCTAAGCAAAAAATGATGTAGATTTGCTAAAAGCTTCCATTTCTTTTCACTTCTCCATCATTTCACTTCCACCCCAACAATCAATCAATGACCACACTTCACATGCAATCTACTTTGCACTTCTGAACTAAGCATATACTAGACGATTCTATTGCTACCACCTCGTTTAAATCAAGAGTGCTATTACGATTCAAGACAACATTCATCAGTTACTCAAATTCTTCCATGCTGCGATAATTTTTATCTTCATTTGATTTCTAGTCAAGGCGATATATTTAAAAGGGCAAGCTAGTTGCCAATCCGGTTCACACTTATCTTGGAACAAGTCTGTCGTCAGATTAGCACAACTTCCACATGACTCTTTTAGTGAGAAAAGCTCCTCCTATTTTTCAATTTCATTTTCATGCATATAAGTTTACGATTTCGTATCTGTCGTGACCAACAGTGCTGCTCAAATGGCTATGAATATTCTTACCTGACCTAATTATCTACAGGAATTTGGGAAAGCTTTTTTTCCCACTCACGTAACCTTCAAACTATGTATCCATTACGTCGGAAATCATTCGACTGATCTGAATTCAAAAAACTTAAATTCAACTTGAAGTTAAAAAAAGAAAAAAAGCCATACGGTCGTCACCAGGGATAACTTTGCAAACAAGAAAAAGATTAGAGTGGCCAATATGAACAGAAAAAATGTAATATATTGACAAACCCAGCGGTATTCACAATGAATAGACTGTTTAGCATTTTTCTTCAGCTGACTATGTCCATCAACGACGGTAATTTTCTCCACTTGCGACCTCCTCAAGCATCCGGCAATAAAGCTTACAAGAAGCGCAACACTGCTGCAAAAGACCCGATAGCTTAATCCAGAATAAATCGATATGTCTAATAACTTCACGACTTTTTCGGAGATATTATTACATATCACCAACTATGACCACGAGTTTTATCGAAATGTACAAACTTCTGAAATGTACGCAGAGAAGATTGTGTATGAAAAAACGCACAACAAAATTTTATTCACAATTTGTAACATACTGGATAAAACTCATAACGAAATTTAAAGAAGGAAAAAATGAAAACATGTCGGTCTACCCCACAAATGTGCATAACCTGCAGAATCATAGATTAACTCGCACGTTATGCATCATCACAATGTATTCAGCGGTTGAACACTGTCAAGTATCTCCTTTCTCCTATAAACAAACAGTTACAAGTACTGCCCTCACGAATGAACAATAAACAACTTGGAGCGGATTTTAAAATGTTTGAAAAAAATAAGAGCAATGAATTACCGCGAATGCAAAAAATATTTTATTTGAAACAAATTTCAAATTTCGTGCCCACATCGACAATGAAGGAACAATCCGAAGAAACAAATAATGAGAACTAGCATAAGACAGCATAACATCATTACCGTTAAGACCTCGGATTTGAAAACATGTGCAAATGACGATTAATTAAGGATGAATTTAAAGTACTACGTTGAGCAGATAAATTGTTCATACTTTGTAATGGGATTTCATTTGTCCACGGAAACACTCCATCACATAACATTTTTTCATCTTTCGCAAGGGAACAAAAAGGTAATTGTTGCCTTGAATCTCTGTCTCTTTCAAAGAATGATTGACTTGGGCGTTCTGATGTCCAACGACGATCTGGCAAAAACTGCCGAAATCCATCTTTGTTCACCGCTGCTGACCAAAAAGATGACTGCTGCGTCGGATTCCTGTAATATAAAAATAATTAACCAAATTGTTTCGTACTAAAACTTCAAAGCAAATATGATTATCTTGCAATTATTTAATACGTACTCATGTAATTAGCGAGAATTCACTCGTATTTAATCATTTTTTATCCAAATGATTCAGGAAAAATCACAAATGTAGAAATTCCAAATGAATTCGTCAAGCAACTTACTGTTCAAAATTGCTGCCTATGGTACTACCACCGTTTCGGAACTGCCGCGTTATGTTATGTCTCCTACTGTTTGTACATTTTGGCCGGCCATGCTTTGATGAATATCGTGCTTTCTTGTTTCTGGGGCTGTTGATGTGCTGATCTAAACGTACACTATAATGTAAAGTGATGATTTGAAGCATGATACGTAATATATGCAGAATTTTGCTGCAAGTTTGGAAAGTGTATGTCGAAAGACACAAAATAAAGTCAGAAGACAAAGTTAAACCAAAAACCTTAAAGAATCATTACTGGAAAAAGTACCATTCCCATAAAAAATCACTCAACAACGTCTAACATGCAAATCTACTCACTTCTATCGTCGACTTTTACAGATCGATGCTTTGCTTTATACCGTTGTTCAGCTTCATCATCACTGAATGCTAGCATGTCATCAGGACACTCACCTTCACCATCCCAACAGCCATCACTTGCCTTTTCTCTGAAAAAAACAATTTAACAATTTAATAAAGAGAAACATGGTAACAATGACTGAACAAATAACTATTATTGCAATGTTACACAGTACAACCTCGAAATCGTCACTACTACCACAAGTCACACTTTACGTAACTATGACTACCCACCACCACTAGCATCGAAACATCTTAGGTTTTCATTTTAATGCTTTCAATCTTATCAAATTTAAAAAATTACAGTATTCATTCAAATATGAAAAACTTGCTGCCTCAACTTCTCCGTAAATATTGTATGAGTAAACTGGGAAGCCGCTGGGGCGTAATACATTGCACTATCCACTCTCCATTCACTTGCTCCCTTAATATCGTTGAAAAGAATCGCATACATTGGTTTAGCAACTGGTCCGAAGATGTCAAATACCTAAAACAGTGCGATAATCAACCACCTACTTAATAAATTTGCAAGTAAAAATAGCGATAATGAAAAAAAAAAACAATTCGATTTATTCCGCAGCTTGAAAAAGACAAAAGCAAGCAAAAGTCATATCGTGTTGGTACTGCCAGGCACCTCATATTTACATTTCATTATGATAAACAAATGTGAAAGCAGTTCTGTTGAAAACAAAATTTTAAGAATTATTGAGGGTATCATCAAAAGTCCTTCATTGTCTGTTTTCGCCCTTATTTATTTTGATGTAAAGAAAGAAAAACACAAACAAATGTACCCGTCCCACAGCGTTGCGTTCAGCATCGAAAATTACAGTATCAAAATCAAGTGCAATATTTGAATCAGCTTCAATCACTACTGGAATAGAACAGAAGTTGTATTATGTAACGTTATATACATACTACTCATGAATTAGTATGAATGTGATGCTTACATGATTGATTTAACAAGAAATACAAAAGAATAACACAATGACCTATTTAGCTCGTATTCTCTCTACATTCCTGAGATGATACGTGTCTAACGGTGACCGGCTCATTCTCAATTTATTTCATAATATATTTGAGAATAGAATGACTAATTACAGTTGAAGTTCACGACAGTGAGTAATACGGTAATGATAATGAAATACTGCCATATCCTGAAATTTTTGCACTACCTAATCTATCGACGATATTCACAATTCTTCCAAATTGTTCCAACAAAATGTCTTCTTCCACATGAATTCTCAGCTCCTCTATAGCAGGCATCGTATCATACTCATGCTCAACAAGTTTTGCATTTGTTTTCGCTGAAACAGTAACATCTATATCATCATCTTCTTCCCGTTGCAATGACGTCTGCCGTCCAGTACTTTCCAAAATTCTAAAAAGAAAAGATCTCCAGCAAATTAATCTTAAGACATTGAATCTGATTATTCAAAACTATTGACCAAAATTTTAACTTACAGTTTAAGATTTAAGCTTACTCAATATGCACTATTGATGAGTAAAATAAAAATTTTCTAGATTTGATAACCAAGTATTGAAAAATCCGCCATTGAAAAATGAAATTCTCGCAGTGAGTTAGCTAAACAGACTGTCTCCACAACTTTAGATAAGTTAACACATAAAAATACTCTACTTAATTGACAAAACACAATTTCTTTGCTCATTTAAACAATTTCCAATTCTTTTAATTGACGAATACTACCAAATATGTTCTCAAATTCAACATGGTAAAATAAGAAACAAACCTATCAAATTCACCATCCGAACTATCACTGCTCGATTGAACAATGGATGTGCTCCTCGAGAGTTTATCGTTGTTTCTCGTAGAATTAGCAATTCTAAAGCAACACAAAACTTGAAAAATAATTCTACTATGACCGAAAACACAAAAAAACTACTAACTATATTGTTCAAAATTTTGAATGCTTTAGCAAACCTAAAACTTGTTGGATCGACAATATTGCAATGAGCGAAAGAGTAATGGAATGATATACATCCCCTGCACACTAAATCAACGATATTGGTTACAGTCTCTGCAATAACGGCCTGCAGAAGGTCATTCTGAAATGAACTTCCCTTCACGATTGAGGTAATCATTGTACAGATCCTCATCAATACTGGCCAAAACTAGAATAAGCATATAACCCTTCTTCCGCCCCATATATTTCTTATACCCTTCCCTATGCCATACAACTTTCAAGCTTGTTGAAATGTACTGATATTGCCAATCCTTCCATTGTTACCAATAACTTTAAAAGCTATGTAAAGCAACCTGAAAGAGCAAAAAAGAAAACCTTGTCAGCTTCGTTATTCACATGCATCGTTTGCATCTTATCTTTGCAATCATTCAAAACAATAACTTTGTCAGAATTCATCATAATCTGTAACGAGGAATCCGAAATACGAATGGAACACTTTTGACGCACATCACTGCTTCTCTTTTAATGCGTTAAATATTCAGGTAATATGGGTTTGATACATTAGCACTACGCAAATTATATTAAGGAGTGAATATAACCTGTCACAACAATTGATTGCAAGATATACATCCAGGAATTAATGAAAGCTGACTCAAGTGATACGTATGTATCATGAATTGAACGCCATAAGACATATAACTTATAACGCAACTTGTCTTGAATAGTAATGTACTACATGTATTGATGCGTGTATTAAGTGTATTGAATATAATCGTTACGCAATAACTTCAAGAATATTACTGATTCTTTCATAAATCCAAAATTTGTTCAAAAATTTACATTACTTGAAAGAGTGGACAAAACACAAGAAAATTCGAGGGAAATAGCTATTAATGACTTCATAAAATTACATCTCAAAGATCTCAAAACCTTAGAACACAGAAATCTTAAAATCACAAGATAGCAAAGTTCCGAAATTCGCGCAATTAGGAAAACCCTATCTATGCCTAACAAATTGATATTTGCTAAGAGCACTTAATCACGCGGTCCTTGTCGAGGACTGATACGACGGAGCTCGTCTCAATCAAGTCTATTCTTGATCCGCTGGTTGGGTTTAATGAGAACTGAGAGAGTTAAAAGACTTCCGTCATGTCTTCCTATTCCGATCAAGGGATAAAGGTAGGGTAGATATTTCTGCATTTGGTGAGAATGCGTAAGCTGGATACAGTAATTTCCTGTTGTCCATATGTATTTCAACATTTGCAGAGTTGTTAAATGCCTCGTGGCGTGTTTATTTCGTAGATGTGTCATACCAAATATTGGGTATTATCGTGTTCATCTTACTTTATTAACGTATAATATCAGTCATAGCTATCTTACATCTCACGTGTTTTACATTGTGAACTCAGCTTTTTTTCAAGGTTAAATGCGTTCTACACATAATATAAAACGCATTTAACCTTGAAATCTTGCAAGTTGCGGATTTCAATATATTGATTATTAGCAAGTTCATCCTAAACTATTAACAAATCAATCATTATTTGGATATTTCAGTTATTTATTATTTGCGCTGATATCCAAAAATTTGTGACAAACAAAAATTTTCGATCGAATTTTGTAACATGGCGGAAGTGCGGAAGCGCGAAAAATTGGAGGATCAAGAAGGTCAGCCAGAATCATCATCACCCGCAGCTGACGTGGTGATGCCTCCGGTTGTTGATTATGGTAGTGCTGCAGCGTATGCGATTGAGTTACGGAAATGGTTATTCACGACTCATTGCTGGGCATTTTGTCATCAGATGGCAACCATGCATTCTTTAGCATATCTGGCATCATGTAACCACCCAGAGAACATGGTACCTCCGATACCATTCGGTATCACATTACCACCACCAAATGCATCTCCACCAACTACTAATCTATCAAATTCAAATCAATTCATCCAGCGCCGTACGATCCCGTCCTTTACACGACGTATCCTTGCGGAAGTTATCGATTCTATTTTTGCATTTGTCGCAAAATTGTTTATTGTTTACTTCTTGGTGGAAATTGGTATTGTGTAAGTTCACTTTCTTCATATCGACAGTTATTGCTAGATTTCTCTCTTTCTTTTACCTGTAGCATTTCTTTCCGTTGCTTATCACCTTTAGAAAGAAATATTATTTGACAAATATAGTATTACTCGAATCTATCAAAATAAAATTACAGGATGATGACGCGGAATATTGCTGATGTTGATGTCCTCGAATTGTGAATTTCCTAAGCCATAATGTAAAAGAACCTGAATTTCTCGCACTAGTCCCATATAGATTTTTTAAGAAATGAAACTGCATAAGTACAAAAAACTCTTTGTCGTTATTGAAATCGCTTCATTACACAATATTTCCAGGGATCTGGACAAATACGACCGATTATTGGGTGATGATGCTGACTTGCATACGTTGATTGACGTAACTCAAGAATTGTTCCCTATTGAGATGCTCGCAAAATTTGTTGTTAGTATTGTGGAGGTCAGTATATTTCAGTTCCATTTTTTTCATTAATGTTATAGAAATACTTAGGAGAGAGAAAATTTAAAGCACAGATGGAACTATAGTTATTTGGGTCTTTCCCAGCTACGTTTACCATGGCTATCGACATAAAAAAATCTGTTAGACGCGCACTATAATACATTGAAATTTGGATTAAACCAGATATTAGTTCATTTAAATCACATCTTCTCCTCTCAATTTCGCTGTAAATTGTCATAAACTTACCAAATTCCACCAGTATAGCAAACTTTTGCTTCAGGCCTTATTTGTATCATATGGTTTTGGATCAGTACCTGCTGGACAGACGCCGGGGAAAGTTGCATTAAATATTCAAGTGATTACCTGTTATCAAGTGATACCCATAACAGGTACCGAGGAAGTGAATATCGTCCGGACGCTCGGTGTCCCGTTCAGAAAGTTAGTCCTTTTTTTCCTGTAGTGATGAATTTCCTCATTAATGCGATAACGGTTTGGTTTCACATCCCATGACGTAATGGAACGCTACTTCAGCTTTAAAAGGCTCACAAGATTAAGAGAACATCTTCATAAGGCATATCTCACGGTATGCCCGCACCATACTGAGGAGTTTTTGGCAATCATAAATAATTTTTGTTGTCAGGAAATTAATTGCCCACAAATGATCTGCTTCATGAATCTAATGGCAAATATTTCAGTTCCTTACTACGATCGCTAACGAAGAACATGCTTATCAATCTACTTTTTCCGCTCAGTGCAGCAGCATATGCATTTACTTACAATCGTGCTGGCTATGATATTGCTGCTAGAACGATCGTTGTTAATGCGTGAAATCATTTTCGGTTGCTTTTTATTATATTGTACAATTTGATTACAATATAAAGATTGTATGTCCAAATCAAACCATGATCATGCAGTGCATGAGGATTGGCTGATAATATCACCCATCCATGGAAAAGGAAAAAAATGGGACGGATCGTATGACACAATGAGATGACGCACGGTATTATAATGAATTTTGTAAAGTATAATCCGGTTATTTTATACCCGTAATTCCCCCGTCCTCACTTGTGCACCATTATGATAGACTTTCCTGTTCTTTGCTTCTCCGTGAACTATTCTCTAATCGGGTGATCACTAGCTGACCTCTGAAAATGCACGACATTCTAAACCCATTTAAGAATGATAATTTCTTCACTTTTCTAACTCATAGAATCAAGTACACTCCATAAATTAAATGGTTATTTGAATAACACCAAAAAAATTGAGTCAACGATTTGGAGGTGGTGGCACTGGCTGTATGATACGTTGTTTTTGTTGGTAGGCTTGACGAGCGATATTACGTTGCAAGCGGCTCAATCGATCATGCACATTTTGCAAGACATATCCGATTGCTGCAACTCGTTTTTTGGAATCATCCAACTTCCGTACATACAAGTCTAAATCATATGGCGCTTGTTGCTCATCCGAAATTTCTTTCAAATCTATAAACAACCATGAAAATTTTTCTCATTGGAAAAGAGGACTATAAGTCCTCTGTTTCAAATGGTTGCCTCCATAATGCTTCTAGAAAAGTTATTGACAATAAACTAGCTAAATAACCCTTCCACTTATATTTTCATTGCACTGCACAAATTTGAGGGCATAATTTCTCGTTCTGAAGGTAGTAATACATCAAATTTTTAATTCTAGCTAGTTTACAGATAGCTATTAAAGTATCTTTGACGGGGAAGAATTGATTAGCTTCACAGCCACTCATCTCTGATGATAATCAGAAATCAGTAACTTACATTGTGCCAGTTCTCGGATATGCATATTTAAAGTGAACTGACTGGCACGTGCCGCATGAACCTGATTATCGAGACGTTCCACTGCTGGTTGGACAATCCCCATAATTCCATTACTCAATAGCACAGCACCATCGTGAATCACCTCATCTGGACTTGATTCCGTCATTCGATCCTTTTAGACAAACTAAAACTTTAATTGCCAGAGCAGGAAGCAATAAACTGAAAAAACTCTGATGTCCAATTGCGGAACCTTAGTACCGCTGGGAAGCAGCAGTATTACAAAAAGCAAACCTACGCAAAAGTGCTCATTTTCAATTCTAATCCTTTACTGCTTGTGAGATTACCCTTATAAACAACACTAACGATTAGAAGCAAGTGCAACTGAGATCCAGTTAAATTTCCAATGGCAGCATCAATAGCGATATTTGGTATTATAAGCTCCGTTTGAGGCATTACTTAATGATAATCAAACACAGTCAAAAAAAGCAAATTTTTAAACATTCTTTTCACTAAAATTTATACCACAAAATTGGTAAAAGCGATAAGTACATTCGAAAAATTCAACAAAACAAATTGGGCTATAAAAACAGTTCTTCATTTATCTGATGACAATCTCGACCCTGTCGTGAAAGATGCTGTTCAATATTGAAAGCAGTCCTTGATCCTCTCTATCGTTATCTAATCAACTCATTTCAGCAAGTTAGAACAATTCGCTTTTACTCACATTTCACTTAAAAGACTTTTGAAACACACACGATAAAAAATTCAAAAAATTCTGCAAATATATCACTTCTTTATTTCTGCAGCGGAAGCTTCATAAATGGGATTCTTTTTGAGAATTACCAAACCTTCCAGATATGGCGTCAATGAGACATCTGAAAACAAAAATATCAAGTAGAATAAAACTCTAAACGACAATCGATAAATGATCTATTTCCGAAGTATTAAACTTCGATTTACAATTTAAGATGTGACTGTATTGTATATTAGTACTGAAAATAGTTCGCGAAAATACGCAGGATAAAAGATTTCCCAAATTATTCTTAAATTAAAATTTAGAGCTATTCAATATTTCAAATCATCAATGTAAAATGGTTTTCTGGAAACTGTATGCTTCCGGAACATGGGAAAACTTGAAATTCTAGTGATTTTTCTAAAACGACTAAAGAAGAGGAATTATCCGTAATATAAAATCGGGAAGCTCAGAGATCAATAATATGTCGTGTCGGTTTATAGAATGGCGTAACCTGATGAAAAATAATCCTTTGCAAAATAGTAGAAGAGCTATCATCCAGAAAAGTGAGAAAGATAAAATTTTCATTCAGTGTAGTCGTGCATTGCTTTATATATATTTTTTCTTGATATTTGCTAGCCAAATGAATTGGAGGAAATCTAAAACTAACATTCTTCATTAGCAAGCTCGACTCTTTCACCGTAAGCCATCAGAACCGGTGTTGTATGAGTCTGAAAGCCAGTGATTGTTTTCGGTTTTCCAGCTTGAGCAACAACATCAACAGCTTGTCCTACTCGGACGGTCACATTTACCTGTTTCAAATTCTCTGGATTCATCTCATCTTCAATCAAAGTTATCAACAATCGTGGTTGCATTGCCAAAGTTAACGAATACAGCAAATAATGCTGTCGATTGTTCAATACAGCTGTAAACTCAAATATCTTTCAATAGCACAAATAAATTACTGAAAACTATAAATAGATAGGAAATTACTTCCAAAATTGGCGTAGTGAACTAAGATGTTATGTGACCAGCGATTCCATTGTGAGTAAAGCACTGGATGGATTCGAAATCTTAGTATAAACTTGATCTTTTTCTTGTAATCAAAAAAAAATAACTCACAACTATTGGCTTCTAAGAAGGCATAACAAATAGTGAGAAGTCCAGCAACTGCTGCAGGACACATAAGTTGACGATCAGAATGGAATGGATTCAAGGTCATCGTTCCTTTACCCATGTGGGTCATACCTTGAGCCAGGCGCACCAACATTAGACTTACCTAAATTATGTGGAGATTTAGTATAAATATGAAAATAGAACCACATCGCCATAGAATACTACGCAGAATAACCTGGACAGCGGCAAGAATCTAAATCTAAGAATCTAAAAGTGTTTATTTACTTAATGGAGATGCATCGAATTAAGAACAGCAAGTAAATTGCACAAAAATTGTTCGATACCGATACAGCAGCATTTGATATCTATTGAGTACCGACAGGAGGTATATAGTAATAAGTAATCTAATGAAAAATGATTGTTTACTTACCTGATCCTTGTGATGATAACTTGCAAGCTGTCGTAACATGGAAACAAGTCTTGCATTGTTGGTACCAGCACCTACCAGACCCATCGCAAATATTGCATTGTGAGCCGTTTCTGCATCAGCATCATGTGAAAACTTTGAAAGTGATTCCAAAATTGAAAGCTGCGGATTGGAGGTACTAATTAAAGCTAATGCCAGAGGTACCGCACGTCTGATAACTGGTTCACCGTAACGAATCTGAAAATTTCACCACTAACACATTCAAAAACCAGCGCCAACGGCCAAATCAAGAAATGAATTAAATGGCAACGGCCTCAATGAAAAATTCCAATATAAGTGAAATTCGCGCGAAAAAAAGCACATTATGTAATTGGTTGCATAATATTTCAAAATACCTACCAAATGTCCGAACATCCTCAGGCTCATCTGTGCTCCAATTTCTTCACCCATAGCGATAAGACCAATACCAAGTACAGCAACCGCTTGCTGTGTCGAATAATCCGGTTTTTCGCTTGAAGCATCACCTTCCTTTTTAGTATCACTTTTGTCTTCTTTATTTGTCTAAAATATACAGCAGTAATTATATCATAGCAAAATCAAAGTAATGAAAAAATAACAATAAATGCAAATAACAAATGTTTACGGAGAAAATACAAGCCTCTTAGTCATAAGAATTATGAAAAAAAAAACAAATTTTATCGAATTTGTGACTTTACTACAAACTAATTGGTCTAAGATAAAACCTCTGTTTATATTTTTTTAAAAATTATTTCCTTTATAAAACTAATCTCCTATGCTACATACAAAAAGTCCGAATCATATCTTCATAATTTTTTTCATTCTCAAAAAATATTCACTCAAAAAAATATCCATTAATTAATTCCAATATTATCCATCGAATCATGAACATTTCGGTCTCAAGTTCGCTTTTTCTTTTCAAATTATGGCATCGGGCAGTGATGTAAACAAACAATAATACAGCATTGAAACAAATATCGATGAAAACGAAAAATAGAAATATACAAATGTAAACGAGCAGTACAATAATGACAAAGCATTATTAGTTACACAATGAAACACAACCTTTTTTTTCGCTTCCTTCGTCTCTTTAGTTTCGTAATGTTCAGAACAAATATGAAGCAGTTTTTGTATTTTCAATACATTCCCAGTCCCAGCGTACGCACATACATCAATTAGCGTTGAAAACATTGTTCCAAAAGGATCCGGCAATGCCCGCACCATTTCAACAAATACTTCACTCTTTTGCTGAGCACCTGAAGAAAAAATAGAATACACTTCTTTTCGTCACTATATTGCGAGGACATAAAAAAACACATACCGAGGAAAATCATAGCAATTCCGAGAGCGATGAAACGATAATTAGAGTCCTGTAGTTCCGCAGCGGTTTTTTCATTGAGATAATTGAATAACTCGCACGCTGTTATATGATCACAAGTACCGACCAAAATGAATCCTATCGATAATGCTGCCAATCCTTTTACCTAAATGTTGATTCATTGATCATCATCCAGCAAAGTTATCGGACATGAATGGTCACTTTACGATGATGAAATTACTGCATGATAAATGTGCTCTTACATGAGTCTCCTAAAGAAGCTAATCATATTGCTTACCAAACTATTCTACTTGGTTTACACTTTAATATGCTACCGATTTTCGTCATCTGCTATTAGCATAAAAAAGAAATGACCAAAAATTACTTCAGGTGTGGCAGATGGTTTTGTATCCGACAACAATTTTTTAAGCTCAAATACGACTCCACCGTCTTCTTTTTTCAATACTGCAAGTCTCTTCGAATTTGCATATGCTAAACCTAGACCAAAAATAGAACCAATTCGCATAACCGTACGATCACTATTTATGTGATCCATGAGAAGAGCAGCTGCTGGATCACACGTGTCTTGGATACCTGAGGATATAATTCCTATTGCTATAAGGGTACCTGCCTGAAAAATATTTGAACTGATATGAATAGGCTAAGAAAAAATATCAAACAAATGACCCGTAACACAACTCTCATATCATATGTCAATTGGCAATAATTGTCAACTTGACAACTCGGAACTCATTTACCTTAATAAAATCATCGTTAACATAAAGGAATCGATCGCACTGTGCTAAACCAGTATCGATATCCCATCGCCAAACTAATCCTTGACTTGCAGCCGCTGACAGCATCCCTAAAAGAAAAAGTTGAAATTCGAAAATGCCACTGTCAAAACATGAGACGAGCAGTGTCTATACACTGATGTGCAAAAAGTTCTAGAACAAGACCTACCATATTCTTTATTTTTATAGAACCACCGACTTGCATCTTCCGCTTCTGTCATCATTTTATCAACTCCAAAGCCGGTATTCACAAATCCGTTAACAAATGCTGCTGCCAAATTTGATCGCACACTATCTGATGCCGATGAACCAGCAAACGGTCCTGAATAGATAATTAAAACAAAACAGACCAGAACTAATTTTACCTTGCAAAGAACTTATATCTTTCTGATATTGATTTAAACGCTAAAAAAAATTGCTGCAAAAATTTGCTTAGAAAAAAACATTATTACTAGAAAGCAAATAAAAGCAAAAAACTCACGACTCTGCTCTAAGTGACTTTTATAGATTCCTTCCGGGGTTTTTGGCTCCATAATGTCAAGTTCCCGAGCCAGAGAGTGAAAATACGTATGCAAATTAGCATTTGAATTTAATTCCATTAACTTTTCACCATTTTCAACACCTTCCAGATCAAGAAAAATTTGATGCCGACCCAATAAGATTGCCATCTGCTTCTGTTCCAATCTAGAAGAAAAATGAACAATTTTTTTGACGTTTCTCAGTTTTTAACATTCGAATAATTCGTTTCTGAACTTTGCTAATCTCCCCAAAATATCCGAGATTACGATTGGATAAAATATCTGACAGTGTCAAACACCTCGTCCCATTCCTTTTGAGACACTTTTCCTCCTCTTCCTGTCTCATTACTATCTCACACGACTTACCACAGACAGATATCGAATGCTTATTGAATAAAATCAGCAAGAATATTTGTTTGCCAGACTGCGGTAATAAATACAAACTGAGGTTAGCACCATCTGCTCAAACTTGATAATTAAGAAAAAAAGTTATTTATAAAGAACTTACAGTTTCTTGCTTTTCATGAAAACCAAAGTTAAAGTAACCGACAGACTTCAAATGAATAAATTTGTTAAAATATTCTGTCATAAATTGTTTTATCTTAAAATTAAAATTAGTAACTGATAAATTGTTATAAAAATAAATTTTACGATGAAAGAATAAAAATAATAACGACTTACATATCTTTTGTGCTAAGGACTATTTCGCGCATTGTTGGTACAGTATTTAACATTATAGCACATCTTAAAGCATCGAAGTTCTTGCCGAATTTCCGGTAAATATTCATCGCTGTTTTAATCAAAATCTCATTATCCGGATCTGGCATTAGCGGCGAGCAACTGAAAATAGATATTACTACACTAAATCCAAGTAACTCTAGGAAGGATTCAAATAAATTGAATATGTTGGACCCTATATTAATTGAACTTTGTCATTCCAATATGGCCTGAAAATGCCAAGAGATAAGTAAGACAGAAACCCTTCATGAAAAGCCATAACCATTGTAGCATTTTTTTGAAAATAAATTTGAAATGAAAATTTTGAAAGTAGATTTCGAAATGGCATCTCAGCTAAGTGATGGAACCAAAAAGTTTCAAGATCCATAAATCTTTTCTTCTTAATGCATTATGAGGAAAACTCACTGCAACAGCTTTTTATAGCACTATTATTGGATCTATTTAAGAAAAAAATTACGACATACCTTAGCAAATATAAGCAAACCCGGCCATGATCAACTTCCTCAACATATTCAGACAGGAGATCAAGTCTTTCAATTTCAATTAGTAAATCACATGCTTCAACTTCTGCGTTATGTTTCATATTGTGCAGTACAATTTCTCGAGTTAGCATTAATAACTGTTCCCGACGCTTATTATGAGCATCGGTACCATCACCACAGGAACGCCATTCTTCTGCCATCTCCATCGCTAAGTGCCTAAGAATGTAGGATTCACTATTGACCACATGTGCTATTTTACAAAGCAAAAAAAAAAAATAGAATCAAATTTATCTCAAAATTTGAATATAGATCTATTTGATGAAAACTAAATTGGTCCTGCTTGGCTTACTTCACCCATCTGCTACTCTAATACACATACATTTCAAATGTATTAAATAATTGAGATTCTCACCTCACATATTCATGCCCCCAATCACCAATTGGTTCATGCTTTCCCATCATGCGATAATTAATACAGTCATTTCTGTCATCTGAAGTCATCGCCAACACTGATATTATGTCCGCACAAAGTATCTGTAATGATTTAGAATTAAAAATTCCGCTGGTATAAAAACACTTCCTTCATTACCGATCATTTAACGGGTGGTAAATCGGAACTGTATTACAAATGATATTCGTCGCTAAACCAGTGCATGACCATACTATCCCCCGAAGTGACAGCTTTGCGGAGAGACTAAATTTCTTCTATACACCAAACTTATTCATATTAATAAACTGCACGAAATTTATATGATTTTAGATTTAAACAGTTTTCGCTTATTAAAATGGCTGAAAAAAAATTCGTTGAGTATTCGTTGCGATAGACAACAGAAAAAAAATATGAATATGCAACACTATAGAAAATAAATTACTTGACTAAATCTCAATTTTAGAACCTTAAATAATCTGATTAGTTCTAATCCGGTAATAATGACACCCTTTAAGAAACTGTATTGCATAACGGCAAAAACCAACTTTCGTAGGCCCTTCCGCCATTTTCTTGTGTATTTCTTTAATTGTAGCATAATGCGGACGCATAAATTTCAACGGCTTTGGTACCGATGTCATGGAAGTTGTTGAAGCACGAATGATGCTTCGCATTGTCTCAAGTGTGGGTTGATACAATGAAATATCATCTTCCTGAAAAAATTTTTATCTGATGTTCGATCTCGACTATTAAAAAATATTTTGGAATTCACTTGGTAATTTTAAGCCAATTACCTCATTATAATATAGTAATAATATAATATAACATTGTATGCATTAAGTATACTTTTCGAAAGTCAATATTTTGACTTTTCGAAAACAATCCTAATAAAACATTTTGTTCTTCCAGCTACCTCTGTTTTCCAGCTCCCTTCTATATTATGCATAGATCATTTTTGCTCTTAAATGTTGGGCATTAATGTAAACGTAAAAAAAAAGGAATGATGAAGAAAACCGCACATTTAAACGTTGCATCAACATTTCTAAATCTTCTTTCAGCTTAATATCTTCCTCAGTCTGAAATTAAAAGAATCGAAAGAATATGAAATTATGGATAATGCTCAAAAAAAGAGGATTAGATTCACCCACAGAGATCATACTAAATTACATGCACCACAAGACGTATTACACCTTTAAGATTGAGTATAACAACAAATTAAGGCACAGTAAATCCATAAATACAACTTCATCCAAATTCGTTTCTTCTCCTTTTGCGTTATTTCAAAGAGGGCTCTCATAATCTCACTGACCACTGTTGTCTTGCAGCTATCTCAAAGACTACATCAAAGATCTTTACCAACGAAATCCACCAGATAATATGCCGAAAAATTTAAGCTAACCATTTCATCCTTCCCTTTTTTCTCCTCCTTCCCATCTTTTTTCTCCCTACCATCCATTATACCTTTCTTCGTTACATTTTTCTTCTCAGACGATATTCCATTTTTCTCTTCAACCATGATTTCTTCTGGAATCATGAATTATTAAGTTAAAGGTAATAAACTGACGAAGTGACGGCTCAGATAAGGAGCAAGACGTAAATACAGAAACAAAAATGCCCAGACGTTTTTCATATTTATATAACATACATAATAATTTTTATCGGTTCTGTTGCTTCACTCTTCTGAAAAAACTATTTGTTCTTAATGTGTGACTTACTCTTGTACTTTCATTCTACGTATGCAAAATGATAAATTCTGCGCGTAAATTAAAAAAATCTATGTTTCAGATAAAAACTCTAGTACTTACAAAGATGAAACTTTCCTTTGTACAGAAATGAATTTCTCGTGCATGAATGTGAAAGCTGAAAATTGTGTACTTCTAAATAAAAAATAAAAATCCACGTAATATCCCAGTGAAGCGAAAATTTTCTTGGATATATATAATAGGAATTCAGATATCTAAAAACCAGTGCTCTTATTTTAGTGTAGTCAAGTTGGATGGAATGGAAATTGTTGTATAGGCCTAGATAAAAGAAAATTTTCCATACCCTCCAATATGAAACCTATATGAAGTTGAAAACTTCATATATTTAAAAAAATTGAAATACACGACAACACAAAGTTAGAATCTCCATTCTTTTTTAAACATGAAACAAAAATTTCTTGGTTCTCCAGAGTAAGAACTATGACATGTTTCCGCGTAAGGTAGAAACCTTTTTACAAGCCTATATAAAGTTGGAATAATCAGTTGCTACTGGTAATTTTCGCTGGCGATTTAAAACGATTTTAAAAAAATAAAATGAAAAGTGACATACAGCGCCGGACTCTAATAAAACGCAAAACATGTACCGAGAACCACTGTTCTTCCACGCAACTACGCTGCGTGCTACGATCGCATTATTCTTCCAGTATTTCACGGATGGGCTCATCTTCCGACCAAACCGTTCTTTATACCGGGTTGTTGTTATTCACGCTTCCCGTTTTACAGCTTCCGTTTGGTTTACGTCCCTCATTTCGTATATGGGTAGAATATTGAACTCGTTATCTTTCGTCATTCATATTTGTTTCTTGCTCGTTGTGAATCTTTAGCACAAATTATGACTTACTAGACAAATTACATATCCGTGCCATTAACATCGAATTGGATTTTCGTATTGCTTTATTTCGTACTTTTAAAATTTACTTGACATCTTTAGAATTAAGAGAAGAGATTTTAGAATCGTAGTTAGTTTTTGTCATAGGCATGTCATAGCTATTTTAGTGCATAATAACAAGTGCTGTAATAGGTCTTTCGTGACTACTAATGTCCATTTCAATATTGCTAAAAAAAAAAATAAATATATTGTCATTTGGTTTGATATCTGTTTTTTGTTAATTTAATGACTAACAGTAATCCTTTTCCGCAGATTCTATGAGGACTTTACGTTGCATAAATCTTTGGAATTTTTGGATGGAGTCTCTGATGTTATGAAACACTGTCGTACTACAGGTTCTTCTGTTCTGTTTTTCAGTGTAATGGCAACAAGAAGTCGAAGAAGCGCAACAGGTAGTGATTCTCTGAACCCAGCAATGATACAATTGTATGATACAGGGAGATTGCGTCGAGAATTGAAACAGAGAGGGCTTGATACGACAGGTACCAGAAATGTACTTGCTGATAGATTGCAGGTTCCAAAATTTTGTCGTATATTGGCGTCATTTGTACTTCTACTTTAATTAGGATAGGCTAATTAACTCAGTGATAGGTTCAAGAGCCTCCATTGATTACAGTATTTAACTCATGGTATCTATTGTTAAAATAGTGATAACGTAGATGGGTAATAAATAGTAATAAATACTCTTGTGATAGTAATGTAACTGCTTGCATCGTTGATAATGTTCGAACTGTAGCAATAATAATACTAAAAGTAGTCATGCTCAGACTATTCTCAGAAATAAATTTTCAACGAAAGTCTTTTGGACAGTTTTAGTATCTATTGGACTATTTACTCAATCCAATTTAAAACCCAATTCCAATTTCTCGTTTGAAGGCAGTTTTCCTACGTCATTATATGTTATATGCATATAACAGTGATTAACTCTCAATATTATTATAGGAAGCAGTTCTTTCGGAACGTAATAGTCGACAGGCATATTCTCCGCCACCGCAACCAGAAAAACCTACAAAAAAAGGAATAAGGAGATCGCTGAAGGGGGTGATTTATTTGTTTGAAAACGCAATTTGCTATCATTAGTAGTTTATAGCGTTTTTGAACCAATTTAAAAAGCAAGAGACAGGCTATTCAAGAAAGTGTAGTTGGATATCTCACGCTGTGCCTGGCATATGGCAAAATTTTATTGGGATTGCTAGAAACCTGAATTTTAAATTAGTCTCATTCTAGGACGAAGAAAATGAAAATGAGACTGGATTGGACTCAGAACCTATTATGTCTCCAAAAACAAAAAAAAGTCGACATATTGAGGAAGTTGATGAAATCAATTTGATAGAAGAATCGTTTTCTATTGAGCTTTCGGTACAGTTATTTCAGACGCTTTATTTCCATTGCAGCTCTTAAGAAAATTTTCTATTTCAAACCATTCAAGGCTAATATAAATGAAATTATTTCAACCATTACTCCTAGTCCTAAGCTGTTTTGCTGCTTACCTGATCATGTATTTTTCTTTTGTGTACTTCCCATAAATGTAACGTTTTTTTAGAATATATCCTCAATTGATGAAATACAGATGGAAGCAGAAAAGGCTTTCACACCACACTGCGTGTCCAATACTACTACAGTTCACGGAGAGCCGTTTCATATGCTAAAAGTTGAAAGATCTCTAATATCGAACGAAGAAACAAATTCTAAATTGAAATTGATCCCGTGTGAAGTGAGAATTACTGAAATGTTTCAATAGTTTAAAATTTATTCAGACACTATTCAGTGGCTTCGAATGCCGATTACGGTTTGAACGGATATGCAAACTCAGTTTAACATTACTGTTTCTTTCCTTTCAGTCACATTTTGACCCTTTTTGAAATATCTTTCCTTTTCAGCCTAAAAAGTTGACATATCTGGATAAATGCAGACATAAGGAGTTGAAGCACGAAAAAAAGATTAATGAAGAAGTGGTAACTGACGAACTGACTAGTTCCAGTGATGATGAAGAATTACGATGGCTTTATAAAATAAGAAGAGGGAAGAAACCTCGGAAAACTTTACTTGAAAAAAGACATACATTTATTGATAGCATCAGCAGAAATGAGAATGAAGTGGATGAAGTACCAGAAGCTTCTACAGCAAAGTTGATTTCCAAGGAGGATCAGATAAGTGAAAAGGAAGATGAGAGATATGGTCGAGAACGGAGTTCGAAATCATCTTCCACAGAATCATCAAAAACACTAAGCGTTGTCAGTGTGAATGAAAAACCAACTAAAGCGTTGATTCAAAAGGGTTCAATTAAAATCAAATTCAAAACTAATCTTTTGAAAACTACCGTTGAAAAAACATCGGAATTGAAACGGAAAGAAATGCCATCTAGTTCCATCGGATTAATCGGAAAAGACGGAAAAGTGCATTCTGATGCGACATTGATCACTGTAGCACAAGCGGTAAGAATGCTGTTTGCTTTACGCTATAGTTCAGATATCTGATTTATCTGCATGATTTGAGGGACGCTATCAAGAATATTTTTCAGGAAGCTGATGGATTTCTTTTTGCATGCACAGTCAGAAACATTGAAAATTAGAAGAATATATGTATTTATCATAGCCTTCAAGTTTATTAATGCAGTGTATAAATCTTTTTTGCAGGAAAAAATGAAACGCGCATTCACTCCACCGCTATTATTACCAAATACTGAGAAATCAAAAGACCATACTTCCCGCAAAAAGATCCCATTAAGAATGCAAGCACCTATTGATGTACTAGATTCTATTTTCGATAAACAGGTAAGCTCTAAAGATTGATGCAAGGAATGATGATTTATTTGCAAAATTTTCTTTAGTCGTTATATTTATCTATCGATAGCAATGAATGGAGCATTCAATAAAAAAGTAATGGTATGAAATAGGTACTTGCTCCGATAGATATATTACATTGGTTGATTTTCCGATATAATTTCAAAATTGTTTCAGGCCCAGCTTTTGTCAAGCAAATATAAGACAGAACAAGAAAGAGCTCTTGAAAGACAGAAACTAGAAATGGAAAAACGACGTCAAAACGCGATCCCTTCGATTCCTTCGTTATCTGCTACATCCTCTGCAGGACAGGAGAAGCGCAAACATGTCGACTTTGTCCTTCCTTCTAAAACATCACTAGAGCAAGATGTCATACAGCAACATTCCACCTGGCCAATAGCACCAGATCTCCTTTCTCATCTTCCTCGATCATCGCGTCATATTCGAGAAAGTATGTAGAGGCATTTTAGGTTTCTGTTCTTCCAGCCGAATCGAAAATTTTTAATCTTATTACCAGAACAGCACTGTCAAACATTCAACATCATTGCATTCTTTCCGATATTTTGAAAGAGATTCACAGTGCTAGCCCACCTTGAAATCAATCCTTCGATCGGTCATGCTAACATGTTCATGAAATATCTTTTGTTAATTCTTTTCAGAAATTGTAAAAAGTTACATCCTTTTAACAATTAGAATTGGGGATTTCTTTTTGAGAGTCAGGTAACGGTCGAACCATAACTAATAGGCGGCGCGCTGCTGGATACTTTGGCAGTCCAAATAATAATCATAGTTTTTTTTCGACATAATATATTTTTTGCTTTTCCTGTTTCATCTTTTTGCAAACATTTTTGATATTTTTGCTGAAAAATCAAAACTCTGTCATAGAAGAGCCATTTCTTTATGTTTATTGACAAAGACATATGTATTTTTCATGGTTACTTTGTTTATCACTTTTTAGATGCTGGCATGGATGAAAAACGCTTACTAGCGCAACTGCCACCACCTCCACCACCACCACCGCTTCTGCCTTGCTCCAAAAAAGTGCCCATGCCTTCCACGTCGAGCGCAGATTTCGATAACACATCAGCAATGGAACATTCGGGAAGTGAGAGTATCGAGGAAAACATCGTATCACTGATGACTCCAACAACTCCATGTTCAAGCAATTCTCCATCGTCTATCAGGACTCCTCCGTCAATTCCTTGTTATAGGAGCCCGTTGGAAACCTCAGTTAAACCTTTGCATTCAATTGAGGCGTCTACTTCAAGTACTGCTTCAGTTACGAAAATTGATTCGGAACGAATAAAAGAAATGGCTTCAGCTTTGCAAGCCGTATTTGCCCGTTTAGGTAATGTTCCACCACCTGCAATTGCTCCTCAATTTGATGGAAGCGAAAATAATGTGATGGGAGAAACAAGCACACTTATAATTTCGGATCCTGGTACGCTGGAGCAAAATTCTTCAATTCCTACTGCTGAAAAGCATATAATTAGTGAACCGGAAAAAATCGGAAGTGGACCGGAACATATCGACGTGATCTCTGGAACTTCATTGATTTGTGTCACCGAGCATGAATCAACATATTCAGGCCTTACTCAGGGAATATCTTCAGCATCAAACAGTTTTCGAGAAAGCAGCACTATAACTCCGTTGCAGCAGCCAATGTTAGGTCCGAGTGGTACGGCTCATTTCATTGAGGAAGTAATTTTCACATTTGAAATTTTTATCTATGTTTAGGATGCTAAAAAAAGCAACCCTGGAAGATAGGATGAAAGAAATGGTTGGGTAAAATGTCTGAGCCTATTTTACAGAATTTGTACACATGACTGTCTTCGATATACGTTGAGTTACAAGGCAGCTACAATTAGCTTTTGTGTCTATTGAATTAAACTAAGTGTTTGTTATTTATCGGTGAAGCTTTGAACAATCCAAATTTTGCAGTGCTTTTTCTTTAGTTTACGCCTCGTTTGCCAACAGAAATTGATAATGATTTCGAAGAGGAGACTGTTGCATCCATCGTTGAAGAAATCGTATGTGCCACAGTGAATGGTGGACTTTCAATATCCAATAGATATACTGGAGACAGGGATAAAAAAGTGTCTATCGAAATTGGGGAAAGAGAAGAGCTGGAAAAGTGAGTCTGCATCATTTATTGTTTACTGCATTTTTCGGCTGGGGAATATGCAATCTATTGGTTTTTGCTATTAGAAGTGTTAAGTTTCTGCATTCAGAAAACCAGATATATCGGAGGATTTACTGCGAGATCCAAGGCGCTTATTGCAGAAAGCAAGTGATGTGCTAAAAAGTTTGCAGTCGCTGGAAATAGCAGCTGAGCAAGCTTCTGCAGGTTTGTGGTACAGCTTTCCATTAAAGTGAGAACATTTTATGGTATTTGTTGAATGAAGTGGTTTCAAAATTTGAATAAGTATCCAGTTTGCATGTTATAAGGATCATTATCTAAAAAACTGTCAAATGACAGTGTTTTTGCACTCATCAGTTGTCCGCCAGAGTGTTTTGGGCTATCTGATTTTTGTTTCGTGTATCTATCAAGTAAACTCATCTCGGGGCATTTCTAGACGTCCTTCAGAGGTGTGATCTTATGATTTCCTGATGACAGCAGATATTTAATTCCTAATTTAAGTTATTTACAGAAAAACAAAATCAACAGCAATATGAACAGTTACCTTTGGACGAAAAGTATGAAGAAGATGATAATGAAGACAAACCATTGCCTGATTTTCACGGAGAACCGGTGCCTGATTCAGATGATGATATCATAATTGAAGGAGTAACTCGGAAAAGAACTATGAAAAAGAATACAGTACAGGAAGAGGAACCGGTACCCGGCGATGAACTAGTTGAAGTTGACTTCTGTATTCTTTTTGCGATATTGTTCAATCATGTATAGTTAGTCCTATGATTTAGTTCCGTTTACTTATCTGATTACCATATATCTTGGCTTACTCAAAATTATGGAATATGATTACTATTTGACAATATTAACCATAGGTTACACCTGTTTCTCGAGCATCAATATAGAATTTCGTAGGAGTAACAATAGCACCGGTACCATCAAATTGTTTTGAACATCGGGTGCGTTGTTTTTAGTCATTGTCATAGATATGCATTAGATAAAGCTGTCACTGACTATTCTTCGAAAAATAATCTATACGAATTGCCAAAGCAGGCTCATCATGTAGTACGCTATGGTTAATTTGTTTTACAGCTAGATTGTTACATTTTAACTGAACTGAAATGAGCAAATTTTCAATGGAATCTTTCAAGGCAATAGATTTATGATGGTTGTGTTCAGACAATGCTGATTTGAACGTCAAAGCAAGTGAAACCTGCCAAGAAATCATCGATCCAGACAACGGCGATGGTTTTGCTTTGATGTGGGGCGGAGCCAGGTCGACATATGGCATTCGAGTTCCTTCAGACATAGTCGATTTTCCTACTGTTATGTTCCAAATTAAGGTTTGATATTTGTTTGATTCTTCATTTTTTCTTTTGTCGTTAGTTGTTTCTGTTTTGAAAATTATGTATAGTTGATCGTTTTTCAAGCTTTCGTTTTGTCAATATCCTTATAAATTGGGCACCATTACTTTTTAAGTTCAATTAATTAGCAGCAAATGAATAACTTTTGCAGCTGTTGGACTGTTTACCAATTAAGCATCTACCATTTGAAGAGATAGATGCCCATAATGTTCGTGTTGGATGGTCAACTCAGAATTCTACAAATATTGTTATTTTTTTACTCTATACTTGGCATATAAAATTCGCGTTATAAGTATTGAAGCAGACATTTGCCATTTTTATCCTTTATTACACGATTTACAAGTAGTTAGTAATTGACGATTTTTTTGTATGTGCTACATATATGATTGAGTAATATCACTAATTATTTTCAGCTAGGAGAAGCGCCCCATTCTTATGCCTTCGATTTATTGGCAAAAAAAGCTACAAATAATTTTTTTACGGATTATGGTGAACCTTGTCAAGTTGGCGATGTTGTAACTTCATGCTTGGTAAGTTTTTAAATAAGCCTTACTTTCTCATGCAGCTTTGATATTTTATGTAGCGAAAAAAAAATACACTGTTAATTCAACTACTCGTGAACTTTTCAGGATTTGGCATCAGGCAAAATACATTTCTGGAAAAATGTAGAATATTTGGGAGTGGCTTTTTCCGAAATCAATTTTAGCGAAAACGACATTATTTTTCCCCACATTTGTACCAAGAATTACAAACTGTCAGTGAACTATGGTGACAGCCAGTGTGAGGGATGGATGTCAGGCATGGAACTACAGAAAAATGCAGCATTAAGCATTAGCACCTCACCCATTTATTTCAGCAAATTAGACCGGACAGTACTTGTTCGCGGTCCAATACCACCATCAAGCAAAAGTGAATGCACGGTAATCGAAATCACTTAACAATTCCATTAGAGCTTAATGGGTTCACTACAGTCCTTTTCTCTTGAAGTCTTAATCATTGAATTTTCAGGCAGCGGATGGGCCAACAAGTTACAGTATTGTTAAACTTCAAATAATATCAATAAAAATGGAAAGTTTTTAGGTTCTGATGATGGTAGGCTTACCAGGAGTTGGCAAAACAACCTGGGTGAGGCAATATCTCCGTGAGCACCCGCAAGAACAATGGACTTTATTGAGTACTGATACAATACTTGCAGCAATGAAAGTTAATGGAGTTCCAAGAAGTAGGGTCCATCAGGTAAATGCAGTATATCATATCAAAAATCATGTTCCATGTAATTTTCGAAAATTGGTTATGTCCTTACTGTTCCAAAGACGTTTTTCCAGGGTCGATGGGATATGATAATGGGTCTTATTGCTAAAGCACTCAATCGTTCCTTACATTTAGCCTGTAGGAGGCGTAGAAATTATATTATTGACCAAACTAATGTTTCAAAAGAAGCAAGAAGGAGAAAACTATCTCAATTCAAAGATTTCCAAGTAATTCTTTTTAAATTTATTGGTAGATATTTGATTTTTTTTAGTGCTGTACTGAAACAAGAAAAAAAAGAAATATTTAAATTGCAAGAGATCTATGTTGCTCCTATATGATTATTGTCGGATACTCTAGCGTCACTTTCCTTCAGTTATTTATGCAATAGTCTGTTGATACTGCCTAATTATGAAATTTGAGATTTACTACTATTGCTTCTACACAATTTGTTACATTTAGTTTTGAATATTTTAGCGCAAGTGTGTCGTTATAATTCCATCAGAAGAGGAAATGATTACCCGACAAATGAAGCAGTCGCGTATGGATGGAGCTGGACCAATACCCGTGGAGGCAATGTTGGAACTCAAGGGTAGCTTTTCACATCTTCAATTTTGAAGAGCGAATATTAAATCTGTTAAATCTATGTTTTAAAAGCAAAAAGTGGGAATATCTTATCTTATCAGAGTAAATATTTTACTTGAAGCTTTGGACGTCAGAAATTTGTGAAGATTAGAACGGCTTCTATTCTAACTTTTTTCATAAACGGAGTTTACATTTCTTCCATGTACTTCATTCGAAAACTTTAATATCTAAATTGTATACATAGGTGCTTTTCCAAGAGAAATGAAGAAAACAATAGTTTTAAATATTTTAGCGATGTTGTCAATACCAAATGTTGAAATGGAACCGATTGAAGATGTTTTCTTCGTGGAACCACCACTAGAACGAATTGGTGATGCCATCGATCTCGTTCTACGGTAACTTGTAATTGAAATGTTTGCTTTAGAGTCCCTGTGCTTTGCAGATGATAGTGAATTTATAGTGAAATTTAAATAGATTCAATGAAGAGGCTCGACCGTGGTGTCAGAAGCGACGAAGCCGACGAGGAGAACCATTGCGGCAGAATGATTCAAGGCTTATGAATAATTCAAACGCGCGAATATCTAACGGTTATTACTACTCTATTGCTTCGAAAGTTATCGTGTCGCAAGCATGATTAAGCGTGTTTACGGAAGGAATTGTTTACTAATTTGTCAATGCTTCCAGACATTTCCTCAGCTACAACGAACATAAGTGCTCATGAGGGTAATCAGTTGAATGGACAACCATCTCCAGCAGAGACAAGGTTATCTTGTATTTTTTTATAGCTAAGTTGCACACATTTCGTATCAATGATTCAAGGCTTATGAATTATGAGTAAGTTTTTACTTTAACAGTAACGTTCATTTTGTTTTGACGGTGATTAACATAGTACAACAGTAGTTGGATTGATAAATCTTTCTATTTACTGAAAAAGAAATGTCTGTCTAAATTTTAATAATATTTAGAAGAATTTGTAATGCTCTTTGCTTGTTTAGCAGTAGATTCGTTTGATATCCGATAAATTCAGATTTGAGTTTTGAAATTTTTAGTAAACTATAATTAGGAAGATATTTGGTAGCAGCATTTGATAGTAAATAATTACAAGTAAATAGGTCACATTAGTTGATATTTCATTATAGTTTACTTTCTTTTGTTTGTTTTTTCTTTTATAAATTTCATGGCATCACGAATTCCTTTCAAGTTTCTTATTTTGTCATCACATCTCCTATTAGGTCTCTTCCGTGGAGCAATTACTCTGTTGATTGTTCACTCAATTCTGATATTCCTTATAACTTTTTACTAACATGCATGACACCACTTTCAGATCAAATGAAAGCTACTGCAGTTTCGAGCGAGAAATGCCACCATCACTAACATCTTCCACAGCATCTTCTTGGGCTGAGCGTAAAAGTGCTTCCATCAATTAACTATGCTGTGCTGATCTGTGCATAATAATTTCGCATTTTTTATTTTGGGAAATTTTCTTATCAAAATTTACATTTGTTATTTAGGTTTTTGAATATTGAGTCGCTATTGTGTTTTTTTTCGATTGCATATCAATTTGCTCTACTCATATTACTAGCCATAAACGCAGCCAATATGACTATACGATTTCTTCTTTATGTACGTGTGGATGGATGGTTCTTCATATTTGAGAAAGCCTTGTGGGACCCCTCGCGTTTAAATAACTTTATAAATATATTCACGTGTTATGGGCATTTTTAACAGAATAAAGATGCCGATATAATGGTCATTCTGACGGAAAGTGTTATTGCTTGCAGAACAATCAACGTCTCATGATCTGTATTCCGAAGAAGGCATTAATAGCTGCTGAAGTAAATGTGTGTAAACAAAAAGTCGCTATTCTTCTATCTATGTCTAAAAACAAAAGTCTGAAAGAATCTCGCGATCACACTGCATAACGATTGAAACAGGGTGATTATCTCTTAAACTGACAATTTGCGCAATTGCAAAAGACTTGAAAGCAAATCGTATTGGAAAATGCGAAGTTAAACTTTGTCATTATAATGGGTTGCTGAGATCGTTCCATAGACCTCTGAAAAGGAAGTCCAACAGTGTATGTGTAGTGAAGAACTTTGTTTAAAAAAGCGGTAGTAATCAAATAAGGAAGCAAGCCAAGACTAAAAGATTCATATGTCTGAAAACGGAACATATCTAAGAGCTCATTACAGGAGTCTCTATCTTTATTACCGAGTTTCATTATGACAAACCATGAAACAAGTAAAAATTAATGAGGTTACATACTTTGAGAATTCCCTTTTACGCAATTCTGAATTATTTTGCTCGATCGTTCTTACGCCCTTGAAAAACATTTGTGTTTAGAATCGGTTGTGTAGCATCTCAATCTCAGTCTTTTCCGATCACCACAGGGGAAATCATTTTAATAAAGGATTTCAGTTCTTTCCTCAGCCAGGATGGGGAGTCGCCAATTTGTTAACATAATTTTCTTCATATAATTTCATTGGGCCCACGAAGAGAAGGTACAGATTTTAGTAAATCATCATTGAATGGTAAAGTGCAGTTTGGCTTCAGCTGCAGCTGCAAGGATGAAACTATGCGGAGTATTATCAAAAGTAAGTGGATTGCTTTACGTCACATTTTGGTTTGGGTCAGATAAATAATAAGATCTCGGGAAAATCGACGAAAGTCACTGCAAATTGCGAGGGGAACATTTGACGTAATGCTTCTTTTTCTCTTCGTAATTAAATGGCATTGTGAACGTTTTTATCAATAATGATTAATTGCTTTAGTTTTCAAGAAGAACGAATACGAAGGAGTTCCCATGTTGCTTCACGTCAATTTACAAATTATTCGATGTGAAGAGGAAGGAAAATATATAACGTTGATATCCGTGAGTGTCACAGCACTTCGTGCCATTCAGATATACAACTTAAGGTTTCGAAGACTTACTTTTCCGGTGATCATAGAGCACTGACAGTGATATTTGATACTTTTGTTACCTGCAATGGCGTACCACA